ACAGAAGGAATATTGCCAGATTCTTTTTATGAGGCCACAGTTATCCTGATACAAAACAAACAAAGATGCAACAAAGAAGAGAATTACAGACTGATCTCCCTCATGAACATTGATGCAAAAAGACTCAACAAAATTCTAGCAAACTGAATCCAAGAACAGATTAAAAACAATCATCCACCATGATCAAGTAGGTGTCATCACAGAGATGCAGGAATGGTTCAACATATGAACATTTGTCAGTGTAATCCACCATATAAACAAACAGAAAGAAAAAAAAAACACATGATCATATCATTAGATGCTGAAAAAGCCTTTCACAAATTATAACACACCTCATGATAAAGGTTCTGGAGAAAATAGGGATATAAGGAATATACCTAAACATAATAAAGGCTATATACACCAAGGGGACAGCCAACATCATATTCAATGGAGAGAAACTTGAAGTGATTCCACTAAAATTAAGGACAAGAGAATGGAGTACACTCTCTCCATATCTATTCAGTGTCATACTTGAGGTTCTAGCTAGAGTAATAAGGCAACAAAAGGAGATCAAGATGATACAAACTGATAAGGTAGAAGTAAAACTTAAACTATTGACAGATTATATGATATTATACATAAATTATCCCAAAATTTCCAAAATTTCTACCAGGGAACCCCTACAGCTGTAAACACCTTCAGTAATGTGCCTGGATACATGGTTAACTAAAAAAAAAAAAAAAAAAAAAAAAAAAAATCAGTAGCCCTCCTATATGCAAATGATAAATGGGCTGAGAAAGAAATCAGAGAAACATCACTCTTTACAATAGCCACAAATAATATAAACAAATGAGACACCTTTATGATAAGAATTTTAAGTTTGTGAAGAAAGAAATTTGGGAAGAGATCAGAAAATAAAAAGATTTCCCATGCTCATGAATTGATAGGATTAATATAGGAAATATGGGCAATGTTCCCAAAAGCAACCTATGGATTCACTGCAATCCCCATCAAAATCCCAGCACAATTCTTCACAGACATTGAAAGAACAATACTCAACATCATATGAAAAAACAAAAACCCAGGATAGCTAAAACAATCCTGTACGATAAAGGAACTTCTGGAGGTATCACCATCACTGACTTCAAACTCTACTATAGAGCTATACTAATAGAAACAGTTTGGTATTGGCATAAAAGACAGACATGTGGATGAGTAGAATAAAATAAAAGACCCTGAAATAAACCCACACCTATAAAAAGACCTGTGTCTTTTTATAGGTGAGTTAAGACCATTAATGTTGAGGGAGTAAGGTCCATTGATTGTTGATGCTTGTTTGATTTAGGTTTGTTGTTGGCAGTGGTATTGTGAATATATTAGTTCTGCTTTACCCTTGGTTTCTGGTGTAGTTGGATTATTTGTTTCCTACATTTTTGTGGGCGTAGTTACCTTCCTTGGGTTGGAGTTTTCCTTCTAATACTTTCTGTATGGCTGGATTGGTAGATACGTATTGGGAAAATCTGGTTTTGTCATTAAGTATCTTGTTCTCTCCATCTATAGTGATTGAGAGTTTTGCTGGATATAGTAGCCTAGGCTGGCATCCGTGTTCTCTTAATACTTTTAGAACATCTATCCAGGACCTTCTGGCCTTGAGGGTTTCCATGGGGAAGTCAGGTGTAATTTTGATATGTCTGCCTTTATATGTTACCTGTCATTTTTCCTTTGCTGCTCTTAATATTCTTTCTTTATTCTGTATTCTAGGTGTTTTGATTATTTTATGTCAAGGGGTCTTTTTTCTTTGGTCCAGCCTATTTGGGGTTCGGTATGCTTCTTGTACTTTCATGGGCATGTACTTCTTCAGATTTGGAAAGTTTTCCTCGATGATTTTGTTGAATATATTTTTGGCACCTTTGAGCTGGGCTTCCTCACCTTCCTCTATGCCTATTATTCTTAGGTTTGGCCTTTTCATGGTGTTCCACATTTCCTGGATGTTTTGTGTTAAGGATTTGTTGGATTTATGATTTTCTTTAGTCGATGAATCTATTTCTTCTAGTTTATCTTCTGCGCCTGAGATTCTCTCTTCCATCTCTTAAATTCTCTTGGTTATGCTTGTGTCTGTAGTTGCCGATTTTTTGCCCAGCTTTTCAATTTCCAGCATTCCTTCTGTTTGTGTTGCCTTTATTTTCTTTATTTCAGTTTTCAAGTCTTGAACTGTTTCCTTCACCCGCTTAATTGTTTTTTCTTAGCTTTCTGTACTTTCCTTAAGGAATTTGTTCCTTTCTTCCACTTTTTTGTTTGTTTTTTCCCTCCATTTCTTTAAGGGATTTCTCACATCTTCTTTGAGGGCCTCTATCATTTTTGTGATGGTAATTTTTAAGTTGTACCCTTCTGCTTCCTCTGCTTTGTTGTTGTGTTCCATTCTAGTTGGTGTAGATTCCCTAGATTCTGGTGGTGTCATGCTTGTCTTTCTGTTGTTAGGTGTTCTCTTGTATTGCCTTCTTCCCATAGCTTCTTCCAGTTAGTGTTGGTGGGGTCTCTCCCTCTCTCTATGGTACTTCCCCGATGGGCTTATGTGGGTCTGAGATTCAGTATCTGTAACTCTGTGTGGTCGAAGCTCTCTAGGAGGTTTCTCTGCAGACAGGGACCTAGGGATGGGGTCAAGGATGAGGATCCAGTAGAAGATGCCATCAGGTACTCACAGTGGTCCTGCAGAGATAGGCAGATCTCTGGGAGGGGCCCAGGACTCCAGTAGAGGACTGGAGGCGGGGTCAGAGACCAAGCAGGTGGAAATTATGGGTGGTCCTGCATGGATAGTCAGGTCTCCTTTGTTCAGAGTTGCTCTGAGAAGTCTCCGAAGTAGGGTAGACTGTTGGCTCCACCCTCTGTCCCAGTGCTCAGCCAGAGTGGCAGGACCATGGGTAGGGTAGGGCACAGGGTAGGGGGTGTTGGCTGGCAGTGGGGATGGGTGAGGGTGTATCCGAGCTCCAAGGGTGCTCTCGATGGGGACCGGAGACAGGAGCAGCAGGATCGGGGCCAACCCAGGGACTCATTAACATTTCTTAAAAGATGTTTATCTTCAGAATTCTTGTCTGTAAATGATAAGTCTATTTTGAATAACTAAATTCATTTCATAGTGGGGAGGAGAACTTTGATGATAAATTTATGGGATTCTAGGCTTCAGGTGGCCTTGGGCAAGTCTTTATCAGTGATTTTGACAAACCAGTTAACTCTTCCATTTAAATATATCATTTGTAAAATGAAGTTACAAATATTATTTCACAATTTAATATAGTAAACTGAAACTGTATGTCTGGATCATGCTAAATATTGTTCTAATTACCTATCATTTTTCACTAATTGTAACTTTTCTTAAATATCCAATCTGCAAGGCAGAATTAATTCATTTCGCTAAGACAAATTAATATGGCATTAATATGCACAGTAAAACCTAGACAGATATTTAAGGTATTTAGTATTACTGGTGCATTGGACATTTCATTTCCTTTCTTTCTAGAAAGATGTTTTTAGGACATTGCTCCTGAAGAAATCAAAGGTCCTAATGTTTGTAAGGTATTATGGAAGACTACAGTTTCTATCCTCCATGTCCAGAAATCACAGAGATTTGTTCTAATATGGTCTAGAACAGGACAGGTGGCTTTTCATAAGATGGCTTGGGTGTGTGGTACAGTTAAAGGTCTGTCTTTCCTCTGACCCACAGGATGCTTCAGGCTGCTCCAGCTTTATTTTTAAGATTCCTTGGAATGGTCTGAGTCATCCACACCTGCTGAAATCAGGTGACAGAGATTGATGAAATCTCCATTTTTTTGTTAAAGTAGCTTGAGCTTGATTTTCACACTTTCAACCAAAATCTTAAAGCATAAGCACATAAAAGGCAACTATTCAGCTGGGCTAGCTGTGTTCTGCTCTTTCTTCTCCTTCAACCTCTAACTTTTAGCCTTTGCCCAAACATATCTACCAGGCAGAGTCTTTAGGTCTGGACAGTAAACAGTTTAACTTCTTTGTTGGGGTTGAGGTGTGTCTTGACGCTTTGTCTGGGTTTGGCAAGTGCTATGGTCTGACCCTGGAGAAATGCTAAAAAAAAGTGTATGAATCATTCAAAGCCCTCTCAGCACATGCCTCTTTGTCATAGAACCATTGGAAGATCCCATCTTCTCAACTCAGTGCTTAGCAGCAATTTAAGAAACTATGAGACTGTCTTTCCCAAGAGAAGAGACCTTGACCAAAACCTTAGCCTGCTTGAAAGACCAAACTGAAGGGCTTGTTGCACACTACAGTTTATTGTGGGAAATTATATTTTGATTTTTGATCATTCTTCCCATTTCTGTGCTATCTACATTCCCTTTTCTATTAAAAATAATTATTGCTTTTTGTTTGTTTTGTTGTAGTTGAGGCAGTATCTCATTTTGTAGCCCAGGCTGACCTATAACACTATGTATTCCAGGTGGGCCTGAAATTGTCAATAGTCTTGGTAGAAAGAAAACCTTGGGTCATAAACATTAAGCATGACACATTAGGTTCCAGGCATTTTCTTTTCCACATTGAGATCCCATAATTATTCATGGCATGGGGCAATGTTTATTTTTCTTCCAAACTTCCCCTGTATACCCCAAATTCCCCTTTTCTAACAAAATAAAAGATCATTTTGTCTAAGAGGTTGAAAATGGCAGGGATAGTTTTCATTTTACTAGAGGAAATGCAAAACACAAAAGAGTTGACACTACGAAAATATAATTGGACAAAAAGGATGCAATAAACATGCCTTTTTCATTACAGTCACATGTGGCTCCTGTGTTCACTAAACCACCTGAATGGTTCAACTCTCCAGTTTAGGAACAGTGTATATTGGGCTTCAGCTTAAGTCACCCAATTATGATTGTTGCTCCCGTTAACTCGTATCAGCAAACTGGTTATCTTTAAAGGAAAATATTGTAAAATAGTTCATATTATTCTTTTAAAAAGGATTTAGTTTGAAACTATGAAGAAAGTATAAGACTGCATAGAAACCAATGCTCCATTTAATCTTAAAAATTTTTCAAGGCATAAATGGTGTGTGTAGGTTTACATGCGGATTGGTAGGATCAAAACAGAGTCAACTAGGTATAGAAATAACATTATGAAAATATTTGTTGTTATTTTCTATCCCAGAGACTAGGAGCTAATTAAAAAACAAACAAACAAAAACTTCTGATGATACTCCTTTTTACACAATAGAATCTTATTTTCTTTACAAAAGAATAGATGCCTTCTACTCTATTGCTATAGGAATTATAAACACTGTGAGGAAATTAGCAAGTTTTTGCCCTGTCAACATGCCTAGTGGTAACAGCATCACAGCCAAGATTGTTAGAATTTTGGTTCTTGTTTGCTGGGTAACAAGTTAAAGGGAAGGCAGCATTGGTACAAACTGCTGGAATCTAATTGTCATCTATTTGGGTAAGAGAGGCAGTTGCCCCAAAGAATAGACATGTGCCCAAGGTCATTTTGGCAGCAGTGGCAGGGTAGAAGAAGTAGGGCAAGTCCTCAACTTTCTGGGGAGCAACCTTAGGCCTTGTACACATACACTGTGGTATGGAAGGAGACTCTTTGCCAACACATATTGCCAGGAGCTTCGTCCTTGGTGTTTCTGCTTCTAAACTCTCCCTGATGAGAACTTAAACATGGTGGGAGTGGATTTATGAGAGAGATTATGTTTAAAGTTTCAGGTAATGTGACGTGACAAAGGGTTGGTAGGAATCAAGAGACACAGGGCTCTGAGTACCAGCTACAAAAAGTGGTGTCTGGATGTGTGAGGAATAGGGAAGAAATTGCTATTCTTAATTTTGTATGTCCCTCAGTCCCAAGGATTTTATATGCACAGTAGGGATGTAGGCACCAGAGTTGCTATTATATAGGAATGGAAGCTTTATGCTTCAATGAATTACCAGTGGAGATGCTACGAGTTACTCTTCACTTCTGTCTCTTTAGTTGCTCTCACAGACAGGAATAAAAATAACCTCAGAGAGAGCTGTTTAACTGAGATCTACTACTACCACCATGAATAATATTCAAGTGTTTAAGCTGATTTAAAAGAAACAATAATATACATATACTATAATTAGCCATGATGATAGTGTTTGTGGCAAAAGGGCAAAGAAGAAGTGTCTTTGTGGTTAGTCTGAAACTATTTCCAATATTTACAATAATTTTTTAAAAGACTTGGGAAAGTGATTTCACTAATGGTTCAAGTAAAGATGAATATGTAAGCACAGTTCATAATGCATAGTTGTATCATTTGTGACAATCCAAACCAGGAAACTTCTTAAGGGTCCATCAACAATAGGATGGAAAATTTGTAGTTGAGTCACACAATAGACTCTTACTTGACGGTGACAGATCCACACACAAACCAACTATAGAACTGAATTTTATAGATGTAAGGCAAAGAGAAGTCAGATAAGAAAGAATGCATAATTGACTAAAAGATAAAATGGGGCAAAACTAGTACATGATGCTAGAAGATCTGAATAATATATGTGGAGGACTGAATTGATGGCAGGGAGCTAGGGCAGTGTCTCATTTCTTACAGGTTGTAGCTGTATTACTGTGTTCAGAAGGAGTGTTCATTTATTAACTGTATAATTCAGTTATATACAGTTTTATAAATTATATTGTAGTACCAATTTTTACAGACAAATGGGATTTTTACAAGAGCATCAAAACCAATATATTGGATAGAAATATTCTCATTTTTACAACTTGATAGAAAAATAAGGGTTGTAGAAGTGCACCTCTTTTGTAAAATCTTAATTGAATAGTGAAATGCACTAAAGTAAGTAGAAAAACCATAAAAAGAAGGGAATATGAGCACTTTAGGAGGAATCCAGTCAGGGTCCATATGTTGTAGAAATCCAGAAGCAGGTCTGCTGGAGGCCTTCTGTCTCTTCTCAGACATGGGCTTTCTATAACTAGATGGCTTGCACACAGGCCTATAAGGGGCTCACAACTTGGATTTATTATCAAAATATTTCCATTAGATGACAAACCTGAATAGATAAGAACTCAAGGAGCAACACAGATACAGGTAGGCCCTTTTATAGCCACTCTTGGGTTCAGACTTAATCTTGAAAATGCTGTTTGTAAACCACACTATTATGTATCTCTAGACAGTGGTTCAATGGTAACCTTCACCCTCAGTTTGTACTTAAAACTTTTCACCAATATGATTTGCAGGTTTAAGAAGTCCCACATTTTTGTCTGCACATCACTTTACAGATCTTCAGAGCTATATATCTTGCCATATAACTTCAATATTCAATGATTACCTACAGTAATTGTTATTCAGTCATACATGTAGTTAATAATTAAATATAGAATTCTTTATACACATTACTACAAATCCTTTAAAAAAAGGCCAAATCAGAGAGGCAGAGAAAGCAAGAAATTGCTCAAAAGATTGCAGAGGGTGAAGAAATTTCAATGTCATTAAAGTGGGTAAAATGGGGAATAGTTTCAGATACTCATTTTTGTCGTAAGAGTGCTTAAACTAAAACAATGTTGAATGAATGAATAACTTATGATTGGTAAAGTGAGTTCAAACCTCCATAAGCCTTAAGGCCACAGTATGCTTGGGAGTTCTTTGGGAGAGTTTTCAAGGAGCATGAATGTTGCAAACAAAATGAGTGCTGAGGCAAATCATAGCTGTGCTTTGGTGCCCAGCTGTATTCAACATCTTCCTCCCTTTGATCTGAAGCTGTAGTCTGCCTCAAGTGTTAAGACTGTTCTCTGTGGACAGTATTACACTTGCAGTGTGTGTGAGAAAAAGAAATGACCAGTAACACTGCCATTGAAAATAAGCACTATTTACACAGTAAAGTGATTAATTTGATAGACCTTAGGCTTCCTCCCCCTTCCATTCACAGTGGATTCAATAATCTAATTTCATGTATGTTAGCTTGTGCTCATCTCCGTGAATTGTCCCCAAGTAGCTGCAGAAACTTCCAGGGCCCGATTTCTCTGAAGGGAGTGCTCCTATTTCTCTGGCTTTCAAGAGTCTTGCCATGCTTCTTGTGAAGATCACCAAACCCGACATTTCCTTTCTGGATTCATGTATGAATTCTTGCGGCAGTGAAAGGCATCTGCAAACTCAGCAGAGTTCTGCAAAGTCCCAATAATCCTTTGAAACAACAAAAAAAGTTACCATCAGCCCTGGACACTTAGTCCATATCACATAGGAGACCATAGATGTCCTCTTAGTCCTCTTGTCCTTGCTGTTGTGAGCCCAGCCTTTAAGTTCTGAGCCATATCTCCAGCCCCCACTCCCACCCCAGAAGTTCTCTATGCAGCTCAATTGAGTGAATTCAAAAGCAGAAATTTGGTATGATGAGTTAGATCCTTTTCATTAACAGTGATCTTAGGTGTGAGTACTGACTTTGCAACATGTTTCAAGACTTTTCAGAATTTTTAACTGCAAGATGCATCTGATACATTTTATTAAAGCTGTTGTTACAATGTCACTAGACTGTAAGGATTGGTAATTTAAAAATATGCTACATGTTCCTTTATGATAAACAGACAATATTTGAAAATGTGGTTTTTGTGAGAAGAGTTTAGTGAAAAGATAAAAAGAAAGTCCTGATATTTGAACTTCCTTGAGAGAGCTCAGATCATTTAAATAGTGTTTTAATAGTTCATTTTATAGTAAACATAATATAATAATTAATAATTTTAGAAAGCTCTTTCAGTGTTTTTATTAAGTATGCATTTCTTTTAAATTTTGATTAACTGTTGTTTGACAATTTCACATTTATATATATGACTATATATGAATATATATAAAATATTATATTCTGACTACTCTCTCCCCCACAGAGAGTGGCACCAACCCACTGTCTGAACTGAGCAGCATTTGAAAGGAGAAGCAGGTCGACACAAAGCAGAGGTGGCACTATCACACCAGCCCTCAGCCACATCACCCTCTCCTGAGGTTGGGAAGTGAAGCTTGGAGGTAAGTGCTCTGCAGTGAGGGGAGAGGAGGAGCAAGTGATTATGGCACTCTCTATGTTCAGAGTAAGTGCATGACATTCTCCATATGCAGGGTCAGTAAGTGTATGTCACTCTCTATATGTGCAGGGTGAGTACGTCCCTCTTTGTATAGGCAGGGCAAGTACATAATACTCTCTATGTGCAGGGTAAGTAAGTGCATGGCACTCTGTATGTGGAGAGTAAGGACATGGCTCTCTCTGTATATGGTGTGGGGGGGTAAGTGCATGGCTTTCTCTGCAAGTGGTAGGTAAGTGCACATACACGTTGCAGCACTAGTCTCCCCTCCAGACATTCTACATGCAGGAGTCTGGATGATCCTTACAAAATTAAATCAAAATTTATAATTCTCAAACCTAATTCCAGCAACACATGAAGGAAATCCAGACTTAGTCGTGAATTTTCTTTCCAATTCCACATATAGCTCAAACTATGCCAGTCGGATGTATTTTCATTGCTTACAGCAACCACAACCTGCTGTTGTGATGAAGCTCACAACCTGGGGCAATCACTTCTCAGCCAGGACATGGCTAACACCTTCCAGCCTTCATCATCACCTCCTTGACAGTTGTGCTAGAGTCTTGTGTCAACTTGACATAAGCTAAAGTTATCTGAGAGGAGGAAACCTCAATTAAGAAAATGCCTCTATAAGATTGGGCTGTAGGCACTCCTGTAGATCATTTTCTTAATTAATTAAGGATTGATGGGGAAGGGTCCATCCCATTAAGGGTGATGCCACTCCTGGGCTGATGGTCCTGGGTTCTATAAGAAAGTAGACTGAACAAGCCACAAGAAACAAGCCAGTAAGCAGCATGCCTCCATGGCCTCTGCATCAGCTTTGGTCTCCAGGTTCTTGTCTGACTTCCTGCAGTGATGAACAGTGGTTTGGAAGCATAAGCCGAATAAATCCTTTCCTCGCTAAGTTGCTTTGGTCATGAAGCTTCAATAGGGCAGTGATAACCCTAAGAAGGATAGCATTATTTTATGACTATGATCTAATTTACATCCTTGCACTTATCCTTCTCAAAGCTGCTATACCATTAGACTATCATCTCTATGAGCAAAGTACTGTGGGTAGCCTACTTCAAAAGCAACTAAGTGATTTACCAGCACATTCTGACACAGGACATGCTAAATGAATGAACTCATCACTTGGTCATGATGACAACCCACACATCAAAGAATGGTATGAAAGGAAAAACTGCATAGGTACTTGTTCGTTTGGTATTACAAAACAACTAAAAGAGAAATGCACCATTACTTTCCTTTCTCACTGAAGGGAGGTCAGAATGGGAAGTCTGGTCCCAGTGTCTCATCTGTTAACATATTTGGGTGCCGCTGCATCTTACTTCATGGCTTCAAATCCCTATCCTTGGAAAGACATAATGTTTGGGCTGCTTGTTTTGGGGACCATTAAAGGTAGTCTTAAGGATATATCTTCTGGGTTCAGGGTTTGATGTTAACTGGGGGTCAATGTTGAAAATTTTCTATCTATAAGTATACTTGGGAGGGAGACAACTAATCTGTACAGGACTTGGATGCAATTCTGAAGGTTGTGAGAAGGACATAAACATCCCCTTATTGCAAATGAGGCCCTGAAAAAGCCTTTGACAGAATGGCATGTGGATATTCCAGAATGTGAATATGAAAAGTGAAGGCTCTGCCAACATTGAGTACTCAGGTGTCAGGGATTTGGAAGATTCTGCAGTTTTGAGTTGAAGACTACACCTTAATCTTTATTTTCATGTGATTATTTTGGGTTCTTGCATCTAGAAAGCAGAATAATACATTGACCAACTACTGACTTCTAACTTTGTTTAGGAGCTTAGAACTAACTAAATATGATGGCTTTAAAGTGTCTCATATCTGAAATGTTAAAAAAAATAAATCTACTCCTTCCACCACCAGGTCTAGGAGAAGATTGCAGAACCTGACTATGTTGTCATCTAGACTTCCAGTCTGTAGAATCACGAGAAACGGAGGGTGTGTGTGTGTGTGTGTGTGTGTGTGTGTGTGTGTGTGTGTTCATAAGGTAAGCAGAGAATAAATTAAGAAATTTCAATTGTATAAATTGAGTAAAAGGATGGCCTGGGCTACACAACAATACTTTATTTCAGAGAAAGTCTTAACTCTTAGGGTTCAGGTTTAGCCACCCTTATAGTGTGTGTGTGTGTGTGTGTGTGTGTGTGTGTGTGTGTGTGTGTGTGATATCACTCATTTAGATACTGGGAGAGGGGCAGTGATGGTGGCTAAAGACATCCTCAGCCTGAGGATAAAGCTCCCTGAATGATGTTGTTTTAACATACTAAATGGAAGAAACTCAATGTTTTGTTGTTATGTAAAGAAAGCCCCTTTCTCAGTATGTGTTGTATACAGAGGAATAATTACATCAGTGAAAATGTCCAAATATATGCCTTAACTCTACATTTCTTTCTCTCACTTTTTTTTTTTTTGCTTTCCTTCCTCCCCCTTCTTTCTTTCTTTCTTTCTTTCTTTCTTTCTTTCTTTCTTTCTTTCTTTCTTTCTTTCTTTCTTAGAGGCAGGATCTGACTTATGTAGATCAGCTGGCCTCAAACTCATAGAGATCTACCATTGTTGAAATTAAAGTCATATAACACCCCAAAGAAACACTAATCTTGGGAAATACAACTGGGAGTTGACAATCCAGGTACAGTTAAGCTCTCCATCTCTGTGTATGTCCTCTTTTCCCATTCAAGACTTCTGTATTATTTGATTGTAAATAATCGGGTCAACAACACACCAGGGCTTCTCTTTCTTTCCCAGGCTTGCAATTAATGTTTAATGGTATTTATACCACCAAATGTTTGGATAGGTGATATGAGTAATCATTTTGAAGACTGGGTACATTTTGAATACAATGAATCTCTTCTCTAAAAGTGAGGTCATACTTTGTTAGTATTGCATACAATATTTACATGGATTTCATGCTACATTAAAACTCTGGCACTTGTGTGTTTACCATTTTTGTTAACAGAAGATAAAAACTTTCATTGTTTACTTAACATGATTCATTTAAAATTTCTGCTCTGTTATGTAAAATAGTCAATTGTGCTGGTGTGAAATAATCATTTGTATTAAAAACATCAAAAATCTAGGAAGCTGAATATCTATGTGATTGAGGATATCTATCTATCTATCTATCTATCTATCTATCTATCTATCTATCTATCTATCTATTTGAGCCATAAGCTCACTATGTAGTTCTTGCTGTCCTGGAACTCACTATGTAGACCAGGCTGTCCTCAAACTTAGAGAGATCACTTGACCTCTGCTTTCTGGGATCAAAGGCATACACAACCACACCCAGATAGTAAATGGGATTTTTAAATTATTGAAAAATTGACTTTAATTAATAGATCCTCTGATAATCGGGTATTACTTCTTTAAAATTAATGACTTAGATTCAAATTTAACTGGTTCCTTTTATGAAGAGCCTATCTAGTCACTATAATTTTCTATAATTCATGACAAAGCCATGTTGATGAGCATATATTCTATCATGTAGGATAATATGTAGATTAATAGATACTAACTGGAGTGTTAGACAACTCATCAAAACCCATTCTGATAGTCAATCCAATATCAGGAGTTAATGCTAAAATGTAATGTGAACAGAAGAAACACGAGGAATTCAAAGAGTAGTTATCTTATGCATGATAAATTATAAAGGGAACCCCAGTGTCCACATTGGCTGAAAGTAGCTGCATAAAATGTTGGGAATATTATACTTATAAACATACTGGAATTTCATCTTTGGAATAGTTTATATTTTGTTTTTGATGGTGCAACTGCTTCAGTGTGGATTTAACAATCTTCTATTTTGAAAATATTTTTAGATAAACCACCTAGCACCAATTTTGAATAATACCTTGAATAAGTTCTTGTAAAATATGTTTTACTTGAATTGGCAGGAAACAGCCTGTCTCAAAAACTAAAGCATAACCTCAGTCTTGCCAAGGAAATCCCTTTACCTCCAATAAATAGTACTGTCTTTCACAAAAGGTTGGACTTCCATTCACTCTTAAAACATAATTCTCTTATTATAAATGAAAAATGGAGTTATCTTTGGTGTCAGAATCAAGAAAATTAAAGATATTAATGACTCACATGTTTATATGAAAATATTGGTTTGGAATGCAGTCACACACCTACCTCCCTGTGTTACTTAGCCAACACTCATTACATGTGTAATTATGCATAACAGAAGAAATGAACAACCACTAGCATGGAAGGAATAACTTAACTTGGAAATGGTGTCAAGTCCATTACTTTTTTTTTCTTTCTTAATTTTTTATTTCATGTGTATTAGTGTTTTGTCTGTTCATTTATGCATGCCATATGCACTCTTGGTGTCAGGGGAAGCCAAATTAGAGACAGAGTCAAATGTGGTTCTGAGATTCCTGATATGTGTGCTGGGACCCAAACCAGCATTTACTGCAGGAACAGTACATACACTCTTAACCTCTGGACCATTTCTCTAACCCTCAGAGTACATAACTTTCTACATAAAGGTTTGTACTCCGTCAAGGTCCCTTATCTTAAAAAATAAAACAAAACAATCCAGTAATAATTTTCAAACACGTCTGAGATAATAGGGACTGATATCCATTACCATGAATCTTCCAGCAACTCTCTCTATAATTTAGTTGTTATACATCACGAAACTGAAGCCAGTAAAAAATAGCTAGTCCTGGGGCCCAGAGAAACTCTAATAAAAATTCCAAATGAGAAATGAAAGAACTCCATTACTAGCACAGGGATAAACAGGCCTGGGCACACTAGCTATGATGATCTCACTAGGTTAGGAGATCAAAATGTAACTAACAATAGTCACAATGGCCTGTCTTATCAAAACAAAATAATATTAATGTGTAACACCTTATTCTCCAAAGATGACAGGTCATTCAGTAGCCCAATACTAACACCTGAAGGAATCTAGCTCTAGAGATCTGCTTATGTTCATAAGAATATACACAGCATTTATAAATGTCTCAGAACTAGATTCTTACATTTCTAATTCCTGAAAACTTAAATTAGAACATGCTCCTTTTTAAAACTTGGCAGTGTTAGTAATCAAAACAATAAACCAAAACAAACAAAAGACTTAAAAATTAAACTAAAAACTTCCTGGATTTAACCATAGTGAGGATAAGTCCACAGTGACTTTCGGTGGAAAGTAGTTAACCAAAAGCAGCTAGTAAAGATAAGTTAATTAACAGGACTAACTTTAACTCACATTATAGGGAAAGCAAAATGCATTGAGCTGTTGTTGCATGAAGGAATTTCTAAGGAATTCCTAAGGCAGAGGCTATATGGTACCACTGACAATGACACTAGGACATGACAAGTGGTGACACGAGGACAAACCAAGTTTACCCGTGCTAGTTTAGATGTTTAACTACGCTATTTACGACTTTACAATTATGTTTGATTTGGTCAGTAGTTAATTTTCTAGGTAATGTATTCACATTCATTTTAAGTAGAGTTTTACATTTTGGAGGTAAGAATTTCTCTTTTGTTCTCAAACTCTGTATTCCAATATACTACTTTTTTTTTTTTATTAAAAGAAAACAACTATTTTTTTTTTCAGTTTTCTTCTTGGAAGCTGGTATTTGTAGCAAGGGGATATTCAATGTTACAGTGTGAGAAAAAGGAATGGCATTAGGATGCCAGTCTAAGGGACAGAAGGATCTAGAACTCAACATTCTATCTACAGTGATTCTCTTCTGATACACTGATTCCTTGCATGTTTGCATTCTTCTATCTCAAAGAGTATTCCCCTGGTAGCCTTGCTGGGCTGTTCTCTGACCTGTGATGAAATGTCTTCACTCCTGAAGTGTTGGAGATAAGTTATTCAATTCTGGAGAACTTCCAACCGGTAAAAACTTCCCACATTGTAGAAGGAAAACCTCTTTGTCATTTGGAACTCACATCTACATGCATATAATGGAACATGTTCTACTAGCTGGTGTTTCCATCAAATCACAGTTGGGAAGTGACATGTTTGTTGCAATCCATCAGGCACTGAGCATAGGACATATGATTTCTCAAGGACTGAACAGGCAGAACTGTGATTGTGGAAACATTATTGGTGTGATCTGTTGAGTCCCATCTTTGACATATATGTAGACAGAAACAGAGACATATGCACATACACATACATGTATGCATAAACATATGCATGCATACATACATAAACATGTACAAGAACACTCACATGCACTTACACAAATGCTTGTATGAATATATACATGCACACCTACACATTCACAGTAGTCTTAAATGGTACAAATCAAGAAGTAGAAAAAGTCAATTTTGAAATACAAAAGTAATGGAGTCAACACTGGAACAGACAGGCTGCTGTTCATAACCACATACCTGAAATTTCCAGGACTATGTACATCTGTTTTAATGGAATTGACTGCATACTCTGGCCTGTAGGTCCCACACCACACCTAGAAGCATAGATAGACAAAGGAAAACAACATGCTTAGGTGCAATCATGGAATATTATAGGTAGGTTGGGGTAAAGCAAAATTAATTTGGTATTCACATTCAACAATTTACACTGCAAATAATGTTCAATGAAAGGCAATCAGGAATATAATAATTTATAATGAACATGATCCGACAATCTTGTTGCAAACAATGAAAGTTAGTCAAGTCAAATGCTCCACCCTAATTGATTAAAAGAAGAAAACATCTTGAAATATCCAACTTGCTGTGAAATTACAACTTAAAGTGATTTTCATATTTGTCAATAATGAAAGACATAATACCTGGGCAAAATTCAAGAAGAATAGTTGTTTGTGGTTTAGATCAATTCCAGGGAGTAATTTTTCTTCACCATTCTTTTTCACATAATTCTGATAGGCCTAAGTAGTAAAATAAAAGTATATAATTTCTAAATTTGTATAAAACCTTCTGCAAAAGATCTTGTAACCAAGTAATTCCCCTCTTATATCAAATCACTACAAGCATACATTTAAACATGGTAACCATCAACTCTTTCATGGATTAGGAAGAAGACTAGAATGCATCTATAAATGCTCAGAAAAAATAAGGGACTCATTAGTAGATGACAAGAGTCTGGCATGTCAGATGAAATGTCACTTGGATGAAAGGATGACTTGAATACATGACAAAAATATTACCTTCACATTGGCTATGGATAGAGCTTGTTGGAGGAATGGTTTGCCAAAGGAGTCATCTGCAATTGCTATATTTAGCTTAGTTATCTACCACTCTTAGAAAAACAGACTTACATCAGATTCAGTCTCAGTGATTCTTGGCCAAAGGTTAAGGGATTCTGTTGAGATTCCTTAAGGTCTTAGTGTCCTGTGATCCTGAGTTGAAGGAGAGGGAACTACTCTGTTCTGCTCAACACAGGACAAAGTAGACTAACTTCCAATAACATCACGAGAAAGGCATTTTGGCCACCTGAGCATCAGAAAAAGTTCTGAAGATTTATATTTACTATTGAGAAATTTTAAAATGAATTAATAATAAACTTCCTGAGACAGGTCATTTGTAATTTCTGTAAATATTTAAAATACATTTATTTATTTGTGATCCATGTGTAGAAATCAGAGGACAACTTGCAGGGGCAGTCCTCTTCTTCTACCAAGTGGATCTAAAGGATTCAACTCTGGTGGTCAGGTGTGGTGGCAATTACTTTTACTTACTGAGCCATCATGCCCATCCTTTCTACCTTATTATAAAGAACATCCATCGTTTACCTAAGTTATAAAGGTATTTTATTATCTCTACTATCAGTATAGAATAGTAAATCTTTACTTTCTAAAGATTTTGGAGATAGAGGGAAGGTTTATGACTCTTCCCACTTAGTGAGTTAATGATCTAACAGAGAGGCAAGTCATTACATGCAAAACACTCATATAGTGTCATATGTATTTGTACAATTGCACTTTCCTTTATTACTGTAATTATCAGCCTGATGTAGGTGAGTAGTATAGCAGAATCATCAAAGGTGGTAATTACTAACACTTGACCACTTCCGGTCAACACAGAGTGATAGGGACGGTTGCTGAATCAACACAGTGATGATTACAACATAGGGGATAATGGTTTGCATAACATTGAAAACAAGTCTTTATCATCACACCTTACAAAGGAAGACTGTCCTGAGAGATGGTTAATAACAAGTTCTGTAACAGGCTTAGACAATTTCTCCATGAGCATTTACATCATAGTGAAGGGAGGGGGAAAATCAATGGAAGTCTGGAGGATTCTGAGCTGAAAAGAAACTGACTATTTAGGGTTACACTGGACAGGATACTAAGAAAGAGAAATCCTGAATGAAGATTACAAGATCAATGGAGGATACTCTTGAATATCTAGCTGCATGTTAATCTGGCGATCATACCCAAAGGGTTATGGATAGCAGTGCTTGGATACAGTAAGATAAGGATGGGGATACTCGAGATCCACAGGGCAGGGTCTGGCCTTGGTACAGGGATCAGTTTCCTCTAAACTAAGCATTATACCAGTCCCAATTAATATGCTGTCCAAACAAGTCCAAAAAGGAGCAAACCATCTCCAATGAATCTAACTATATGCCCACTATTTGCTACCTAGTGAGAAACAGACACATTAATCACCCAGCATTCGAGGTAGTAATAGTCTACCATCCCCCAGTGATGAGCTGGGACATTTATCTGACTTCTTCTCCCATGCCTCATACTTGGGTGATCCTTTGTTTTGAGCACACTGCAGGCCCCATCAGTTATCTCTCCATTTGTTGTGATGCTTCTACCTTCCTGGAAACCACTAAGGTTCTCTTCCCCTTGACCCTCAACATTGCAGTGATTACCAAATAATCTTATTCAGTCCTCAGACACTCTACCCATGCCATCTTTGAAAACCTGATTCTCACTTATGGATACTTTATCCTTTGTTCCATCACAAACAGACTGCTCATTCTCTCATACATGGTGCTTCAGTGTCAAGAGGTACACTCAAATTCATCTTCATTCCTCCTTGTTGCTTCTAAATAATCATACCTCCATCTTTTTGTGGAATTACCTTTTTTTCCCCTTCCATACTGGCATTCATCGGGTCATCTTTTAATTCTTACTTACATCCTCAACAACTGTACTCTTTTATGGAAGCTGTGTTGCTATATCTCTAGTTCCTAAAATGGTATGGCATACAAAGCAAAGTCCTTTAAATTACTTATGTGGAAGAACTGTAAGGGCTAGAGGCCTTGGACACTTGCTGTAATGTAAATCCTTCTAGACATTACAGGGAAGGTGAACCCATAAAATCTAAACAGTAGGGTTCCCTACACAAGACCTGTATAATGACACTGACAGCCAACGTGACACTGTGGATGGAAAATATTTCTCAAGGCCTCACCTCAGATGAAGAGCTGCAGGTATTAATGGCAGCCTAGAGAGGGAGAACCAATTTCTATAGTGATGAGCCCTTGATGAATTATCCATCCCAACCATAAATACATACATGCAAGCAGCACTAGAAGTACTCCATAGTCTTTGCATGTATGTATAGGTAACAGTAAAGAAAAGGAGGCTATTAATGTGTGTGTGTGGGGGGGGCACAAGAGGACTTGAGAGTAGAGAAATGTGTGAAAATGATGTAAATACAGTGCTCATATTGGAAATTTTCAAAATATAAGTAAATAAAATACTTGTTACATGCAAAGATAAGTGGAAGGCTGAGTCTAGTGAATCTATTATTCAACAATAATAATTCTTAAAGAAGAATAGTTGGGGAAATTACATGTCCATATACTAGATCCATCACAACCAGGTCCCAAACTGTTTCTCAGTGAGCAGACTATGGCTTAATGTTATGTCTTCAGTTTATGCTGGTTATTCCCTCTGTAGGCTGCCTTACTTACTGAGAAGATGAGGGTCTCACTTGTACTGATGAATGGCCCTGAAGTCATTGTTTTCAGGGACATATTTACGAAGAAATTTACTTCAGGGATTATTTCTTAGAAATATTTTGTGTCTTTTACAGGTTTGCACATCTTATATTTTTTGTTGTAACATTGAGTGTTTTCTTTCTTACCTTGGCTCCATCACCTCATGTCAACCTTACAGACCCTTATGATGAACACATGCCCAACTCTCTTGCTCTTCTCGTGATTCCCATTTCCCATTTTTCATTTTGTTTATATATGCCTCTTATAAAAGGCTTTAAAATGGGTATATGTGATAAATGAACACTCCCATCACTGAAGTGGGGATAACTACTCACTCTGTATGCTTGGCCAAGGCCTCCATTGTCAGCAATGTTTTCTCCTAGTGTATTAATTCCATTGAGCTGTTTAAAGAAAGAGTCTCTGTTAGGAATTTTACAGAAAGCACCAGCATTTTCTTGTGATTGAACGGCTAAAGCTTTTCTGGAGAATGCTGATGACATACATGCTGTCCACCTGCTAGGTCCCATGTGAAGTTTCCATACTGGTACACCATGCACTGGGATTGGTCTTTAAAATTATTTGCAGACTGCTGAGTCCACCAGTCGACGAGGTCTCCATCTTTGTTAAAATTTCTTCCTATAATGTATTCATTTAGCAAAAAGGAAATTTGTTACAATAAAAACGAGAATAAGATTCTTTAAGCTCCTTGTTTAAGAATTGAAATTCTTGAAGTAGATTCACATGCAGTTGTAGAAAAAAAACATTGAGAGACCTCCTATGTGCTGTTCCAGCTCCTCTGTGTCAATTTGCAAAACAATAAATCATAGCAAGGATACTCACATGGATACAATTCCTCCATCTTGAGATCTCTAGTTTAATGTGGGAAGGACTAAAATACTGCTGTGAGAATGACCATGGCATGGGACAGATGATGAGAGAAACTGCTAACTCCCCCAAGTCCTGCTTTCTTTGGGAAATCCTGAACTTTATCTGTCAACACGCCATGGGATCAATGGGTATTTCATATACTTGGTTTGTGATACTGAAACTGAGGCCACTGGATAACACTCATGGTGAAAGCAGGCTGTCCTATTCTTGATGCTTTCCATCTGAACCAAGACTGTTTAACTTGATATTCGAGGCTTTCAAAGGTCATCACTGTTATTCTGGCACCTGTTTCATGTTCCCAGACCCTTTATGAAAACTAACTCCATGTTTCCCTCAGCTTTAAGCACAAAAAGAAGCATCCTTTTCCTCTTCTGGAGTCTAAATGATATTGATCTTTTCCTTTTTGTATCTTCAAATGCACTTACTTACATACTTTATATGTTTTGACATTTAAATTTATCATGTTTTAAATATTTATGATACACCGAATAAGAAAATAGCAATGAAACAAAATTTGAATTTACATGCTGAGTCTACCAATTCCAGGTTTTATAACATTGCACAAGCATGTTATATGCCTCTGTATGTTTTCATTTTAAAAGTAGAAATATTAATAGTCAATATTGGTTAAGACTATTGCTCTGACTAATGAGTTAACATACATTTAGCATGTCTCTCTTTAAGGTTTTCTTATTGTCTCTCTGTTTTTCTAGAATTTGCTGTCCAGGTAACATTCTTTTGAACTAAAACTTGTTACATTTTTGCTATGGCCTTTGTATATATTGTCTGTCTTAATTTAATTTTGTTTGACTTTAATTACAATTGTAAATTTTCTTGGTTGTTTAGGGATGCATATCAACTTTTAAGTGCATACTGTTTACAAGTTTCTAAATTATGTGTTAAGCATAAGATGAAAACAAAAATTCCTGTTCTTCTCTACACCTGTTCAACTATGTTTATAGCAGCATTTTTGTAATGGCCAGAACCTGTAAGCAACCTAGATGCCCCTCAACTGAAGAGTGGATGGAGAAAATGTAATTTACACAATGGAGCAGAAAAACACAACGGAATCCTGAAATTTTCAGGGAAATGGATGGAACTAGAAGAAACCATCCTGACTGAGGTAACTCAGTCACAAAAAAGACAAACATTGCATGTGCTCACTCATATATATGGATATTTAGACATAGAGCAAAGGATTACCAGCTGACAATTCACACTGCCAGAAAAGCTAGGATATGAGGAGGACTCTAACAGAAACATACATGGTCCCTTGGAGAAGGGGAAAGAGTCAAATTGGGAGCATGGAGGGAGGAGAGAAGGAATTAGGAGAAAGAGAAGGGGAGAAGAGGAGGAGAGAGGTGGGCATGAGAGAACAGGAGATTGAGAAAGGCACGTATTTCTTACTTCCCATTAATATTTTGAGTTTCTTAAGACACACTTTAAATAGAACTCTGACTGTGTAGTGAGACTTAGGTCATCAATACACTGGTAAACAAATGGAGTTTTATACTAATAAATCTTAAACTTGGGATGATGTATTTTAGCCAAAGAAAAATGTTACCTATACTTTACCATTGTCATCAAAGCCATGTGTGATTTCGTGTCCGATGACCATGCCGATGCCCCCATAGTTCAGTGAATTGGATTGGTGAGCACTAAAGAAGGGGGGCTGCAAAATGCCAGCTGGGAAGACTAAAGAAGAGAGGACAATGAAAAATTTGTGAAGATTACCTGTGGCATTGTTAATGGCGACATCATGCTTGCTAGCCTGTTTCTGCTATATCTGTTTCACCCAGGTAGATAGCAAAAGTCTTATGTGATAGAAAGCAACACCATCATTTATAATTGATAGTGGCAAAGTGACTGAGCCAATGCTATACATGACCAACCTATAATTTATTCATCACAATTCACCTACCAATTTCTTTTAAGATTTTGTTCCTGTAAGGAGTTTGGGGGAAGGAAAATTTATAAGCTACACTCAGCAAGTTCTCTCCCTTGTGTAAATATTTGGAAAAAGGAGCTACTTAATAATACACATTTCTTTTCGGGCTACCTTTGAAATGGGATCCATCCACAATTCTATCTAAAATAAACTGCCACTCAGTCAAAGGTGTCCCATCATCATTTAATGTTATTTCATTTATTACCAGGGTTCCTATGACTTCTCTAAATTCTGTTTATTTCTTTGTTTATAATTGGAGTCCTTCTTTATCTGATTTGCTCATTCCCATTCTGGCACCTTAAATCTCAGGTGTGTGAGGTCACAGATTTATGTGTTTATACACATTTACTTATCTTCTTTGTTCCATTTGCTTTTAAGGTCATTATCTCTAGAACCCATAGCCGGACAGTGCTTGGAATATAATTAGCATCCAGAAAAAAATGTGTTGACTGAATAATAATCAGTTATACACAGATGAATGTGTATTTTTAATAGACTAAGCTGTCTATGTAAAGTTTAGTAGTCATGAAAATCTCAAAGAATAAGATTATTTTATTTAAAAAGTTTGGTTGATGACTGTTACAACATTTCTGTTAAGTTGAAAACTTTTTCTAGTTAAGTCTCAAAAACACTTGAGCTTATCAAACATCAAACACTTCCCTTTTCCCAGATACCAGTCTCTTGCCTGCTATTTTTTTTTTCTTTCCTATTGGCACATAGCAGAAAAGATAGTGTCAACAGAGTACAACTACCGAGTGAACCTCTTCTATTGATCTCAGGTGCCTCTTTTCCTTTATGAAGTTTGCACAGCATATATAGTAGTGGTACACTGTTCTCCCAAAAGCACATTCTTTCTATGGGGAAGTTGGACAGTACACCTTACCTCACCCTTGTTCCTCTTATCTAGAGTGACTAATTTCCTAAGAAATGTTCTCACTTCCTGCCCCACCTGTAATCTACCCTAATCTAATCTATCCTCTAATCTATTCTGTAGCTAGATTAAAGTGCAATAATGGTCACTATTCCTCTCCTGCTAATAAGCTTTGGGAGGTCATCATTGTTGTGTGGCCAGACAGCATCCTCCTCCTGACCTGCATGAATCATACTTTCCTGATTTCTTGGTCCCCAATGTCACCATTTGTCTAGTCCTTTGCATTGTCTTCCTACAATAATCTACCTGCTATATACTCTGTCTGTAGAATATATACTAATATGTCTCAGTCAGTTTTTCTTGGTATATATTGCCTCTATTTAATGCAAAGGGACTATTGTTTTGGGCCAATCTGTCTAAAGGAAGTTAACTCCTGACCTTAGAAATGAAGTCACATTCTTATAATTCAGTAATTTTACCTTTCAAGTTTTAAACTTCTAGCACCCACTAGGTAACTGCAGACTATGTTCTGGAATTGATAAAGAATTGAATATAGTATGATCACATATTACATGGAAAACTCTGAGCCTTTACTTTACAGGATGTCAAGAATATAAGTGAAAGGCTCTGACATTCAGTAATTAAAAAAGAAGAGAAATTTAAGGTCTCATTAACACAAAGTAGCATTTTGTTTTCTTTTAAACAGGGTAAATATGACCTAACCTTTCATGAGCTTCAGGGACAAGTATTAGATATTTACAGAGGTGATTTTAAAACACCTAGGCAATTTTGTTCTTCAGATCTTTCAATATGTTGGAAAGTTGCCATTGTCACCATTTTCAAATGACAAAATAATAAAAATAGACCTTTGTCCTGGGAGGATTTTGGTGAAAGTCATAGCTCACATGCATCTGCCTGAGCTAAACAGTGCCAAGAGAGTATTTTTTAGCTCTAAGTTATAAAAATTATACACAGTACTTTATTAACTTAAACTGAGTATTATCTCCCACACTATGTACTTTGATTAAAATCCACCCATTATATAAAATGTTCTTACAAAACGTGGTATTAAGGCTAAACATTAACCATAGAGATACAGGTGAATTAATTACAGCCTTCAATGCCATTCCTCAAATATGAGATATGATTTTTTTTATAGCTCATACTAATGCTCGTCTTCAAGTTCAGCGGGGCTGATTATGAGCTCCTTTAACTTGGTCAGCTCAAATTTGTATAGGAGGATTTTCTCCAATAAATTCGCTGCTTGACTAGTAAACATCTCAGTGTTGCTAGTCACTGACAGGTTATTTCATGAGTACCACAAGCTGGCTAGGTCATTAAGTCTCTGGACCACAAAACAAAAAGATCATTACTTTTTCTTTCTTCTTACCAGCATGCTTACCCCCACTCTAGTAACTGACTCCTGATCTTTTCAACTTTAAGTTATTTCAAACACAGCTCAAGTTTTCATTCAAGTAAAATCTGAGGGTCAGTCCAGACCTGACAGTGTCTAAGGTCTTTTCTAGACTTTGCTGAAATGAAGCTATATTGCCCTAAGGTAGAAATAAATGTCTAGTTGCCTCACTTCATGTTGAAAAGAAATTCTCCTAGTAGGGTTTCAATGTACAATTAACTAGATCTCATACTGACAGAACTATGAACATTAAAAAGAGGTTTTGGAGAGGGGGCTGGGAATGCTGCTCTGTGGGAGAGTGTATGGTTATCATGTGTAAGGTCCTAGGTTCAATTTCCCTTTCAAGAGTCATAGGGGAAGAACCTCTAGAGATAAAGGCATTCTGAAGAAATTTGGGACTGATTTTAGAAATGCATTTCACCATGATTGATCATAAAGGTCCTTGGGAATTGATCATCAAACAAATTTTGTCTGATTTGAAGTAATCTTTTCTTTTCAGAAAACATTAGGCTAGGCTTTGAGCTAATTGATTTTTTTTTTTTACTTTAAAAATTTTAATATCAAGATATCAAGGCTACATTAGGTTTCTACAATTCAATTAGTTGAATTCTTTTACAATGTCAATAAAGACATGAATAATATAGTTATCTATTGCTTTATGGTTTGACAAACTAATCTTTTTTTCCATATCTATTTTTTGAGCTAATTGATTGTTTTGCTTAGACACACAAGTTATTATCTACATGCTATTTAAAGATTCCAGATTTCTTATGTAACCTACTTTTATGCCATCTACCAAAGTAAATTACAGATAAAGTTTTACTTCAAAAACTGAATCTATAAAAATACTAAACAAAAATGTAGATAATGTCTTACTATATCTCTTCTTAGGTTTAAAAACATGGGGACAGGTGTACTTAAACTTCAAAATTACAAGACAGGGTTTGTTTTTTTTAAGTAATGATAAATATCTTGAAAAGCTTTAGTAATTCCTATTTCAAATCAGTAACACATTTCCAAAAGGTGAGGCTTAAGACAGAGTAAGAGAAATAAAAAGAATAGTTTAAATTGATGCTGAGATTATCATTTTTAAAATTCTGTCTACATATTAATATAAAGGCCTAGACTGAGTCCCCATGGAAAAACCTGCCCTACTGCTTTAGTACACTTCTGTCAGTGTCTGTGTGGTGACTATCAACATGGTAAAAACCCTTGGGAAAAAATGGGTCTGTTTTTATGATTCCAAAAAATGCCCAGGTTTACCCAGGAAGAGAAAAAATATATCTTTGTCTTGTGAGGTTATTCATTTAATCCTGATATTATCACACATGTGTTAATTTTAATCATAGTTTTTGACATTACTTTTAGTGCAACAAAAGTTATTTTTCCTTTTTGAGTAAAATAGTTGGGAAACATTTTTTCAATTTAGGAGTTATTTATTAAACTTTAGGAAGAAGCCAAAGTTATTCATAGTGTATTGTGTATTCAACTGTAATTTAAAGAGAAAGATGCAACCATCTTGATTGATGAATTTTAAAGTGTTCCCAAGACTATAGTACAATGGACACACACACACACACACACACACACACACACACACACACAAACACACACACACTACAAACTACTTACCACACACACAATCTGATGAATCTTGGAAATTCTAAAACATAATACTTGTAAAACTGTCACCCCCATTGTATTACCCATCTCAGTATATAAACTGTTTTATAGGCAAAGTGATTAAGTCTCAAATGTCCTAGTGTAGTTCAGAATATCCTTTTTTCCTCTTCACATGGCTGAATATGCATTTACAGAATTTTACATCATAGATGCCATCCCTAGGCCATACATATTCGCAGTCCTTTCTAAACACTCTACTTTTTCTTTTCTTGGCCTCCATTACAATCAAATTGGGTAACATACTTTTATATGGTAAAGTCTAATCCAATTGAAGCAAGAACAGATTTATCTGACCTACACTTCCTGATTACAGTCTATCACTAAGTGAAGTCAGGAGGAATGCTGTTTGATGGTTTGCTCACTGTCTGTATTACATTGGCCCACTTACATCAATTAACAAGCAAGACAAACTCCCTAAAGACTTATCTCCAGGATAAATTTGAGTGAGGCTTTCCTCTCAGATGATTTTAGTCTCTGTCAAGCAGACAACTGAAAGTGACTAGGGGACTGAGGTTTTTCCAACTTTCTGATTTCCTTGCTAACTTTGCAAGAAAGAAGACAAAAAATAGGAGAGTCTCCAATAAAGCCAGACTGCTTACTGAATTACCAAGAGAACTGGGTCTACAAAGAGTTGGCTCCTCGAACTTTCAATAACTTTAAAGGGCTAATGCTCCGTAACTCCAAGAGTTCATATAATTTTAAAAAGAAACTTTCAAAGATCCACCATCATGGATCCCTCATCTAGTGCCTGTTGGAGGCAGAGGCAGACACCCATAACTGGACACTGAGTTGATTTGGAATCCAGATGCAGAGGGAGAGGACAAGACTAGGTTGCAGAAACACATAGAGAGAGCTGACCTGAACAAGGAGGAGCTAATGGGCCCCCAGACTGATAGCTGGGAATCCAGCATGGGATTGACTCACACCCCCTGAATATGGGTCTCAGCTAGAAGGCCTGAGCAGTCTAAGGGACCTCAGACAGTGGAACCAGGATGTATTCCTGGTGCACAAAAGACCTTGCGGACACATCCCCCATGGAGGGACGCTTCCTTGACCTAGAGACAGGAGAGAAGTCCTAGTCCCTACTTCAAATGACTTGACAGATTTACATGACCCCACCTGGATGGCATAGCCCTACATGTGGAATAGGGGTGGGGGAATGGGAGGAGAGGGTGGTCTGGGTGCATGTGAGGGAGCAGAGAGAGTAAGAGGGAGCAAGTGAGGGAGGGGGGGAGAGGGAACTGGGATCGACATGTAAAATAAAAAAGTAACAAAATAAAAAATAATAAAAACAAAGAGCATATTGGAATAAGATAAATCATTTATGTTACAGATTGGATGCTATGGAAGAAGCAATTACATACTGTGATCTGGACTAATTTTAATTTTCCTATTATAGTGAAAAGAGGTACATGAATACATGAATACTTCAAGAAGTGAACCAATAATTCAATATCACTGTCACTTTCAGAGGGATATTAAAAACTGGCCATACAGAAAACTGTAGGATGAAAAAGGTGGAGAAACACTGAAGAATTAATTAGTAATATATCTTACCGATCTGATTTCTGCCTGAAGAGTAAAATGCATTGACTACAGCTGCTCCACTTATCCACCTATGGGAAACATAAGAAGTTGTTACAAAAAACTACTTCATTATCTCATTCAATCTGCTCACCACAAAAATAAATGTTAATTCTCTGTGTGAAATATGATCAACAAACTGACATTAGCATGTTAGAACTGAGGCTCATTGGAAAATATTTCTACTATTGAAAATTCCACATATATCTAGGTCTACAATCTGTTATTTCATTTTTGTGGAGGCATCCGAACTACAGTAGGTTAAAATTATATCGAAATGAGCTTAACTTTGTGCTTTCATATTAAAAGGTTCCAACAATTCTGGAACAGTTGACAATGTATGAAACAGAGGCTAGTAAAACCAGATTCAAGTAGATTTAACAATTTCAATTTCATAATGAGCCTCTTTTGGAGCTCAGATAACTTAGCTTGGAACAATGAACTGCAAATTATTGCTCCTTAAATCTTGTACTTAAAATGCAGCCCCAGGACAGATGGTGCAGTGGTTAAGAGTAGGAATAGCTCTATCAGAGGATCAAGGCTCAACTATCAGCAAGCACATCTGACAATTCTCAGGTGCCTGTAACTCCAGTTCCAGGGGATCTGGTACTTCTGGCCTCTGAGGGCCCTGTACCCATGTTTATATATCACATACACACATACATGATTAAAAATGAAATAAATATTTTGAAAGATATTTATAAAAATTCAACATTATAGCTAATTGAGGAAAGGCATATCTTCGCATGATTGTAAAGTAAAATCCAGGTGGTTTTTAAGTAGAGTGGTCTGTCTGTTAGTCCATATCATGACCTAGGCTCTGCACAGAATCTAGAGTTTATAAAATACACAAGTGTAGTTTTAGGAAAGAAGAACAATTCATAAATAACTGTTATACAAGAGTGTATAAGTAAGTTAAAAGAAAACAAAACACTGGTCTCATGATAATTCGAGGGCTGAATGGCAGGAGCTATTGCTCTCATCTCTTCCTACTTAGACACTATAAAAGATGCCTGTCAATTAGCATATACTAAGTTTGTATGGACAACATAAATATTCCAATTTTAATAAGCTAACATATGTGTTCATTGAAAATGGACACTGCTTGATCTCAGATGACTTCTTAATGTTAGCATATCCACACACACTTAAGACAACCATGGAGTATTATTTTAAATCTTCACTAGGTATTCCACTTCAGGGCAATAGCCAGTGTGACAATTATTACAAAATCACAAGAGTAGAACAACTCAATACCTATCAGAGCTCTTTCTAGTCTCTGCTGTACCAGGTAAGCAGTACAAAGTCACAATACTATTCATAATGTCAGTAACTACTGTGGGATGTCAAGTACGGGCACTATTTTAGTTTCTTAAAAATAACTGGCAGAGACCATATGTACCAACCATCTGAAAAGTTCTGCTATATTCAATAACATGATTAAAACTTCACATAAAAGGGTGCATGACTTTACAACAATCTCATTCTGTTTTTATTAACTCTTCAGGAAAATAATGAATCTAGAAGTGGTAAAGAATAGCTACCCTGTGTTTTCCTGTTAGTTTGTTACTGCCGTTATTTTAACACAGGAAACACTTTAAGAAAGATGGGCTCACGTATCAATCTCCCTGGCTTCATCACAGCTGAGTCATGAATATTTGAACATTTCCTGCAAATTGATGATTACCAGAATACATCTTATTTGTTTTAATTAAATGCCACTTGCTTACAACACAATTTGTAGTGACTCATGAGAAAGGCAAGTATTTGTAAATCCAGAATGTTAGATTAAAACCCAGAAAACAGAACTACATGGAACAAGTGGGTCTCATTTATGTGACCCACAAATAAGCTGTTTGTATAACCAAAAGTGGTTACAAGGAAAAGTGATGCATTTAGATTGCACTTGCATAGGTTCACACAGGTATCATGATTCAGGCTCAAGTGAAGTTCTTTGGAGCTAGTGAAATGGTCAGAATGGATGATATGCTCAGACAATTCTACAAAAACACTGTTTCATGATTTGAAAAGCATCCCTGGTATATTCTCAACACTTTCATAGCAAATGTTACAAGAGTTTACACTTATTAAAATTTTCACCAAAATGATTTATGAATTTTTCCTTGTCTCAGTGGCTCTAGAGTTAATATCTTAATTGCAAATTCTGAGTTGGTGGCAACAGCTGTGCATTTTTTTGGATAATTACAAATAATCCTTACACATTATTTGGTTCTAAATTAAACAAAAAGTCCTAATAGTGAAGTAAAAAAAAGGGGGGGTCAATAATAATTATTTTAAAATGAAATGTTATGCTGAAGAGAAAAAAGCAGATGCACTACGCAAATGCTTCAGAAAACACTCTTCAGACACATGACTAGAAGCTACAGACATACAAAGACAGACCTTATACAATATTGCCTGCTTAGGCTTGCTTACTGCTTTTGTAAAAATAAATGCTAACCCTTTTATGTAGACCCTTTACACCCTTCTGAAACATTACTTTATGGAGTTTGAGATTGCATTTTGATTAATGTTTGTAACTCTTGAACAGGGAGAGATTACATATTAAAATGTCTACCGTGAATTATATCTTCTAGTACATATGTGGCTATTTATAACCAAGGAACACTCCAATAAAATTAGAATTATGGTGATGGGGTTTACCGAGCATTAGTGTGTAGTGCTTTGCCCCACACACACCAAAATTTTAATGACTGTCTTTAGTCCACTCTGGAGAAGTATACAAATTCAAAAGCCCAGAGCATTTTGTCCCAGGTCACAATCAGAACTTGAAGTACTATAATTTTATCAATTGTTACATCTTAAGTAGGGTAGTGATAACAGAGACAGATTCAGTGTCTGATACTTGTAGTCAGTTGTGAAATACCCCAAATACCAGTGGAAAAGATACATTAATGAGGCAAATGAAATGTTTTAAAAATTTGATAGTGATGTAATAAAAATTCTAAGTTCATTTGATTTCAATTAATCTATAAAAATGGAGACACTTTTATTTGCAAAACTCAGACAATGCTGATCATGATGGTAGCACATAAAGAAAATGCACATAAAGAATAAAGGTAAAATTAGAAACAAATGGAATTGCTACTGTTCTAAAATAATGGCTATTTTGTGCTACCTAAAGATACCTTCCAAGTGTGCAGGCCAGCCCCTAGTATCCTGTTCTCTTCCTGCCTCAGTGACCTATGTATGTGTGAGCATGGGCTGTGTGTGGGAATGCAGAGTGGGAATGGAGGAAGAACTTTATTTTTATATAATTACTGTAATTTAATTTTAATTTCTGAAATGTAGTACTGCCAGGTAGTCTCAATTTGTTTAGAATCAGCAACCTGTCATCTGAAAGAGGATGTCTAGCTAAAATATACAGAGGAACCAGTCTTTCCCTTCCATCTCTTTGAGGAAGCTAGGTGGTGAGGAAATGAAGGGGCACAGACTTTACAGCAGGTAAGAAAAGCAGATGTGGACATCCAACTTCAACAGCCTTTAAGATAAAGTGAACTTAGTGGACTGCAAAAAGCACTTAGAAGAAACCTGTTTTTCAGGCACAGAATCTAAAGCTTTAAACAAAGAAGACAATTAATGCCTTTCTCTTCAGAAGTGTTCAATGCTCAGCATCTATTCTGAAAGCAACTCCTTAGAAATAAGCAGTACAATAAATAGATTTTTGAGTATGCCTTCTTCAGGTATTCCTGGGTGAAAGGAGATTTCTCTTGAAATCTCAAGATCATTATACTCTTTGACACTCCTTATTTTCTTTCCTCAAATCTTGCCACATGCTCTTACTGACCTTCTAGATCATCCTGGCAGTATTGATGGCACCTCCAATATGCAGGTAGGGGAACTGAGTCACTACATATTTCCTAAACTCTGTCCTAACACATGTAGATACTAAGTAATGGAACTGGGGAAAATATATTTAAGGTAAAAGGAAAGCTGGACTGCTTTCCTTCCTATCAAACCTCATCATGGACTGATCCACATGGTACACAAATGTCAATACAGTGATTAATGCCATTTTACTGTCAATAAAAAGAAGACCTTTTCTCTTTCTCTCCTACTTCATCCCCTTCTTTTTAAGGCAAAAGTAGATGGCATTAACAAAATTTATTCCTAGTCCATGGACTGTGGGAGTCCATTTCCTGTGGAGGGCTACTCTCTCTGCCTAGATACATGGGGGGAGGGCCTATGCCCTGCCTTGCATGGTGTGACAGACTTTGATGATCCCCCATGGAATGCCTCACTCTCCCTGGGGAGTGGATGGAGCTGGGATGGGCAGTCTTGGGAGGACAGGAGGGAGAGGGAACTGGGAATGGTATGTAAAAATAATATTGTTTTTGATTTAAATAAAAAACAAAGGAAAAAAAAGAAAAACTAACAAAAACAAGAAAACAACAATAATAACAAAATTAAAAAAAAAAACACCACCATCAAAACAACAACAACAACAACAACAAAACAAAGCTCAGAGGCTAAGATTTCAGAGCTAATAAGTAAGTAAAGATGTCCTAATTTCAGTCTGCCTAGTTCCCACAGCCTCCCAGCACTCCTACCACCTCATTCCAGTTCTATAGCTCACACTTTTTCCTTATTCCACAGACATAGTATGTTAAGGCCTAAACAAAACAACGACAAAAAAAAAAAAAAATGCAGGAAACTAAAGACATTGTCTTAACATGGCTTTTGATAGTGACCCTAACTAAGGTACAGTTGGTGGCTGAATCTGTCTGAGGACCATGACCTTCCTGATAATGAATTGGGAGAATCTACCCTTCCTGATATTAGGTAATCCTGAGGACTCCTAATAAAGAACCCAAACATCTTCTATCCTATGTAACCATTTGTACTTACCTGACTTTCCATAAAAGCAGTGTGTCTGTGCTGATTAGAATGTAGCTTCATCGGTCCATGTTTTATTTTTAACTTGAACCACTAGGACTTAGCACACTGTTGGGAATGCAACTGGCACTTGCCAATTATTTGAGCAGGCCTATTAATGGCTGCTCCACAGTGTCCTACCAAGGACTGACCCAGCCAGAGCAACTAGAGTGGTACCCCATCTGAGCCTCCCAAGAGATTCATGGTAAAAGTACCAGAGTTCTTCTTCTGAGGAAATATGGGACATTTTGATCCTCTATTGTGGTCTCTAGGTTTCTACTGATTGCAGTTTGCCATTGTCCAATTATTCCAAACAGAAAAACCAGCAAGCATGAAGTAAGGAAGCTATCCAATGAGTCAGAACTGCTGCTTTGTTTTTAGCCACTACTCTGTTCTACTCATTGATCCAACTTCTAGCTGTTATTATCAGAGAATGATTTACTGATCTGTTAAAACATTTTTTAAAATCAGTGACAAGTCTAAAAACCTTTAAAGGAAGCATTACTGCTTTGTTGTTCACGAACACAAAGACCTAGGGGCTTATTTTTGTCCTATTAACTCTTAGTGAATATTCGTACTAGTAGAAGTATATGATTTTAGATGTGTTACCAAATAATCTTGCCAATACTTATACTCCCAGTTCAGTACTATTTTTCTCTGAACTGGACATGTTTGAAATTCCTCTGCAATTGCACCAAACCCTCAGGAGACATCACGCTCACAGAAAAAAAAATTATACATAGTCATCCAGAAACCATATGAACTTTTAAAATTATTAAAATTCCTGTTCTTTGCAGGTGTGAACTTTTCATAAGGGCAAGGGCAGGACCTTTAGCAAAATGATTAACTTGGACATATCACAAGCACACTCCTTGAGATTAAGTTTTAAAAAAAATGTTTTAACAGAAAACAGCCACAGTGGTGTATATCTTCACCAGCTGTGGGGGCAAAATGTGGAGATGTAGCTATTATCAACAATGTTACAAATTGGCTATTCCATTTGCACATGCTATCACCATATATGAAGGGTCCACATTCTATTAATCAATATTTGTTTTTTTTTTTTTGACATAAAAAAGTAAGTGATTTCTTTCTACACAAATTAATTTCTTGGGCAACATCAAATTGTACTGGTGCTTTGACAGTTCTGTATAGGTGAACAAAAAGCTGCCAAGGAGGTACAATGAATAAAGAGGCAACTCTTCAATCAAGCCATACAAAGGAATCTGTTAGACAAACCAGGGAAGAAAAGATGCTACAAGCTGAGTGTAATGATGCACACCATTAATCCCAGCATTTAGGAGGCACAGGTAAGAAGATCTCAGTAAGTTTGAGGACAACCTGGTCCACATAGCAAGCTCCAGGACTACATACAGAAGCCCTGTCTCAAAAGACAAAACAAACAAAAGAAGATGCCGCAAGTTCAGAGGTATTGAGGGAAAGGTAGGGGAGTGGTTTGGAAGCACTGAATACCACAGGAGTTTTGGACTGAGGTGGTAGTTTAGGGGATTATTAAGGAATTCTGGAGAGCTATGGGAACTTTCAAAGGTTGAGGTAAGCAACAGGAACCACAGGAAAACTATTTGACCAGACAGAACATGACTCAAGCTGTATCATCAAAACCCTGGGGGATAGCTGTGTGAGGATGAGGTGAAAACATGAGATAACTGGCAATAAAAGTTAAAACAAAACAAAACAAAAAAAAACAAATGAGAAATATGTGGTAAGGAGCTGTTTATACATTATTATATTTAACCAGGAGCAGGTGAATGCAGTCCTTTTCTTTAGATACAGCACTATAGATACAATGGGTATGTGCAGTGTGATTGAGATGAGGCCCTGGTTTTTATCTGGGTGGGAACAAAATGGAAGCTCCTAGAAAACAGATTAATTTTTGCCTAAGTGGAAATGTTGTACTTGTGTGTTTAATGATATAGTCACATAGAAATGCTTGCTAACCAGCTAGCATTAACTAGCTAACCACAGCATTAACTGTGGAGTTCTACAGACCATGGGCCAGATTCAAATACTCAGATGGAATAAGGGTGGTAGACATCAGGAAGTAAATGTAAGTGCCCACTGAGCACATGGAGTGCTGTTATCTAGGAGTTACTAGTTAGTTAATCAAACTCATCTAGATTAGTTAGTTTCTTGGAATTTTAATGCATCAGCATTTCTCTAATGTACTTTGTAATATGACCTAATAATAGTCCATAGTCTCTCTCCTGTCCTTTCAGTACACATGTGAATATATATTCCTCCTACTAGTTGTTGGGAATGAATGAGGATCTGAGTATGACATGTGACTTCAGGCTACATGAGCAAGTAGAAGCTATAGATTTGTCTTTCTGAAGATCAGGGAGGACTTGAACCTGGGGATATACATTATACAAGTAAAGAGACAACAACTTTTCCCCTAGTAAAAAGGTGCCACATCAGTCAGAAACTTTCATAGGTAGAAACCCAAATGAAATAAAGGGAACTTTTATTACAATACACATCATAGGATTCAGTTGTAACTATTTAATGAAATAATAGCCAGAGTATTTCTGGTGATTTTAAAACAGAAAAATAAATTTTGGAAAATAAAAGGTATCATCCCAAAATGATGACAAAAACAGAGACTAATTCAGAGGCTCATACATGGAGGGTGCTTAGGAAGGATTCTTGTACTTGGATGATAGGGGATGTCCAAGACTTGGGCTCCAAGCCTCAGATCAAATGCAAATGCAAAATGCGCTGGGGCATCAGTATTTTTGTTGTTGTTGTTGCCTGTGTGATTCTAGTGTGCAGGTGTGCAGCAGACATGTGGATCTTTGCATTCAGGGTGGAGGTAAAGGGTGGGGAGAGAGAGAGAAAGCTGGAACCAGGTGTAGGAGACCTTGGAGCTGCATTGTAGTCGTATCAGAATTCTTGGGAATGACTCAATTAGGACTACCTAAGCAAATAGGCTGTGAACTAAGCTTCCTTTAAAATGTTTTTGGACTTTTACTTCCTGTGGTGCAGATTACTGAATCACACCACTTCTGTTGTATGTACCATCTACCTTCTGCTGTTATTTGTCACTTGTTTTCCCAGGACCCAACGACAAATGGACTAATCATTTTTCTAGAATAGTAGTTACAGAAAAAAAAATGAATGAAGCACAATGCTAAATCAATATTTAAATCAAGGTGGATCATTTAGTTTTCAGTTGCTCAGTAAATCACTACTTTTACTTGAAACCAAGCTTGGTGCTAGGTGCTAAGTGCTAATTACAGCTTCAGTTCTACAGTGCTAAAAGTCTTGGAAGAAGGTCATTTGAAGGAACTCTGTGGGTCTGAGTACTCAGTACACGTGCTCGTTAATCTCAGGGTATTGCCTATCGAGTTGAAAAACAAAGGTCAAAAGCAATAGTCACCATGAAGTACTGATGAGACAAGCATGAAGAGATTAGTAGTAGCCAAAGTCTCTTGCCTAAAATGATTCCTGGCATCTCCTGTGTAGCTCTGCAGGGTTAAAGAAAGTGTCACATGAAGCAATCAGAGAAGGAAGTGGGCTAACGGGATGCTTGGCCAGTAGGCACTAATAACGGAAGAATATTCTGGATATAGAATAAAGCCCAGTCATGGGCTTAAAGAGCTAAGTTACACTAAGGTAAGGTGTGTCTGAGAACCTTGTCCACGAAAATGTTAGAGATGGTGACAGTGTAAGAAGCCACTCAATCAAGGGATGAAGATAAGTGTGAGGGTGCCATAGTGAGGCTTTGGTTTGAAGTTCCTGGCCCATGTTGTTAATACAGTCCCATTAGATGTTCTCAGTACTTCCTGAGGGAAGGAGGTATTGCAACTGTCAAGAAATCAGAGCCAGCAGAGAGAAGGTCTGCCCCAGATTGAACAACTAGAAAGTAGATATACGCACTCGTCTTTGTCCACCTTTTCTCGGAGCTTCTTCAGTTGCTTGCTTTGGCTGAATTTCAAATTTTGAATTATGTTCTCAAAGTATTCATCTTCCTTGTAATTCAACTGCATTAGGTAAAAGATTAGGGGGAGAATTATTAATGCCACCATCATCACAGTCTTGCTAGGAAACAAGTTAATATAGTTAAGACACAGCATTAAGAATTTCCCAAAGGACGCTTTATTCCCAATTAGCCTTGCTATGTATTTTAGGTAATCCTGTTCTAGCTGAATCATAAATTCAGTGTATTCTTTTATAGCCACTCATGAAACAAAGGTCAGGCCAACCTCACAATATTGTTATCAGTCCCCATACCATAACTGTGAACAATCACACCCTCTTAATTTAGCACCTACTGTGCTTGGTACTGTTCTATTTAAATAGATATTATACTTATTTGATCTTTCTGATAATCTTGTAACCAAACAGCTGAGATCAGCCTTTTAAAGTTAAAGAATGTGAGGTGGAGATGTTTCTGGTCATTTGCTAAGATTTAAAAGGTCAACAGAACTGGAATTTGGGGCCGAGGCAATCCACTCTTATAGGGAACAAAAAAGACTACTAAGTTTTTTCTGTTAATGGAAAAGAAGGAGTTTGGGGTGTAAACCTACATGTCCCACTAATACTTGGTGGATCAGCCATCACTGTCATCTCAGACCTGGGGTGTGTCACCTGCTGGGACCAGGGTGTCATGTTATAGTGATGATAAAGAACAACACTGAGTATCTTAGCCAAGTCTAATCACAGGTACCAAGTGACTTTAACCAGTGTAACCTCTGTAGCAGGGAGAGTTAACAAAATGGTTCTCAGTTACATTTGGTTTTAGTAGAGTTGGCAATCTGTGTGATACCCACAGGAACAATGATTATAAAGTAGAAGGATTTTGACTTTTGTAGCCCATGTAAGCAATTGTAAGGGCCTGTGGGCAGCCTGTCACTCATTACTTAGATGTCTACTTCTGATGCTCTAAGCCAGTGGTTCTCAACCTTCCTAATTCTGTGACCCTTTAATACAGTTTCTCATGTTGTGGTGACCTCCCACCATAAATTTTTTCATTGCTACTCCATAACTGTAAGTTTGCTACTGTTATGAATTGTAACACAAATATTTTTGGAAACAGAGTTTTGCCAAAGGTGTCACCCTCCATCGCCCAAAGGTTGAGAACCGATACTCTAAAGGCTGCAAGGTTTTTCTCAGCACTACTGAAATATATAGAAACCAAATTCAGTGCAGTACAATGACAAGAAAAGTTAAATTAAACATAACTTGGTTATTAGAGTTCTCTGTGGTTTTAGGCTGTATTACACAATGCCTGCATTCCTGAGCTATAGGGACATTGCCACCAGCCCCAACATCACTGCTGAGACTTACCTCAAGGTACTCATTATTCAGTTTGTTATCATTGGATATGATGTCATCGGGGTAGCCAATCCTTTCTTTGATAGCTAGGGCCTGTGACAATTACAGCATTGAAAGTGAAATACAATCATCTCCATAACCAAAACCTTCAAATACAAACATCACATATCCACAAGCAGCAATTAAATAGCCTGGTGTACCATTACCAAAGGAACGCCTGACAACACTCAGCTCATGTTCTTTGCAATGGCTCTTTACCTTAGTTTAAAAAAATAAAACAAGAAGAGGCTTGGACTTTAGGGCCTCATGCCCTGTCTGTCCTTCCTGGCTGCAGCTTTCCCATGGAAACTGACAAAGGCCATTGCTCCACATATAATGTGTTTTCATGAATTATTTTTTCTCTCCAGACTTTTCAATTTTATTGGAGGAATAACATTTAGTGCTCCCAATCTTGCAGGATATAATTATCTTTCCACTCCATTGATTCAGCTGAGAAAACAGATAAGGGCTCTACAAGCTTTGTGCTAATATGCTCCTGAATATTGGTTCCTTCAGTCTTTATGTTCCCCAAAGTCAGTGCAGCTCTTCTCACGTTAAATGAATGACATTAGCTGCATGAGTGGGAAGTGGGTTTCTTTGTTATTTACTCATATTTGTTCACTGTTTATTATTAGTTTTATGGTATTGTTTAAATGTATTTATGCTTATTATCTCATTGCTTACTGCTCCCAGACACCTCTCTGAGACAGTCTTGGATTCTCCTGGAGTTCACAGAACAGGCTGCCTTTCCTGCACAGGAACCCCCAATGTGTGCCACCACACCTACTTTTTTTTTAACATTGGTTTTAGGAACTGAACTCAAGTTCTCATGCTTACAAGGTAGGCATTTACCAATTGAGCTATTTTTTCCAGTCCTAGGCTTATAGCTTTCATGCAAATTTTGATGAATTTTTTTTTCCTAAATGTTTTTAAAGTTAATCTTTTCAAATGAATAAACTTTCTTTGATGGAGCTTACTGGTCTTTACCTTCTCTTCAGCTTTCTTTTTTGTTTCAGCATCCATCCAGGTGAGGTCATCTAAAGTCTGAATAAAAACTTCCCGGATTTGTGCAATCAAATCTTCGACCTCAAAGCAGAAAAAATATTAGCTTATCAATAGTCTAATATAGAAATACAGCCCCTGAGTTCATTCTTCATTACAGTTTTTAAGACAGAGTTACATGATGCAATAGGATGCAATAGGATGCTAACACATGTAAATTTATAGATGAACTGTGGCCCCAAACAAATAGATGTAAATGATCATACAGGATTATTATGTTAAAGCAATACTGCTATTACCAAAATTTCCCAATTAAATAGGTCCTTTTAAATACATAAAGCTAATATCACTATCAGAATGCTCTGGTTCTTGTGACCCTTTTAGAAGAATAGAATATTAGCTGGCACTATCACTAGTGAGTCAATTAAGCAAGAAGTAGCATTTCAGTACATTGTTTTACTGTGCCATTGAGCTCCATTGTCTTAATTTTAGTAGCCATTAGAAAATAGGATATGTTTCTCATACTTCAAGTAAACTGTAGTTTACTTTGTTGGTATTTAAGGCAATGGTCAACTGGGCAAGAGAAGACCTTGTAAGTCTAATATGTGACTGTGAACACTAAAATCACTGCTTCCAGGAAACTGATAAGCACTTTCAATTAAACAAGAAGGCAGAGACTTAACCAGATATTGAGGGGTATGAGGCGAAATCTGTTGAGAACAATGGTATCCTATGATACACAGATTCATTGCCTAATTAATAAAAATTGAGCAAAGTTGTGAACAACTGTGACTGCTAATGAGACAAACGAACTGCCAGGGTACTGCTACTTGGATGCCGATGTACTGTGTTAAAAGATTACCACATGTTTGCTCTCTCCAGCAAATGCTGCTTCCACATAAAGTCTTCCCACAGCATTCTCCATATTCCCATTGACATAGTTAGCGCACCGTCTCCACGTTGCTGTTTCTGATGTAGTGCCATAAAGGGCCTATAAAAGAGAAAAGAAAATGGTGTCTGACCAAGGAGTCAGGGATGAACTGAAGAGCATGCACTCTGCAAGACTAGTCTTTATGTCTGCCTTAAGTTCCTGCAGTACTCATTGTTTTTCATCACAGAGCAGTTGTCCCTAAGCTACAATAAAATGTAATCTGATTGGATTGTTTACTTTAAAAAAAAAAAATGGGTTTGTACAAACAAGGTATCTTTTCAGAGGCATGTCCCAGTAGAACTTTTAGCTGTTACAAGTTAATAGCCTCCAGGAGAGCTTTGGGAGAGAAAATACAACATTGTGCTCACCATACAAGCATAAGCGCGAAGAAATGTTCAATAAAGGAACAGGAAGGAAATCTTATACACCACAAAACACATTTCTCCTTTTAATGTTTTAACTGAAGTTCAGGTACTTTAGGAAAACTGTGGGTACATAAATTTTAGTATCAGTGAGGGGATTGGTAATTTACTGAAATAACATTCTTGCAGTCTTTATTTATATTTATTTATTTAAGACAAAGGCTCATGTAGTCCAGACTAGCCTCAAATCAACCATGAATGATGCTGACATTCTGACTCCCTCCACCTCTTACATGCTGGGATTATAGGCATGAGCTACCATGCTTACTGTTTTGAGTGTTTATTGGTTTTTTAAAAAGTGATGCAATTGAATCACATGTCAGCCCTGTATTAAAATTTGTTGATTTATTTTTAGTGGAGAAATCAGAACATTCAAGCAGTTATTCTTTTGCCAGGATGACAACCAGTATGTTAGAGTTTTCCTTCCTCAGTTCGTACTGTCCACTTTCCTAATACCTGGGCTGAATGACTGTGTAGCTAATGTACAAAGCCTGAGAAAAATCTTTGAGGTTCTTGCTTCAGGTTGGTGTACTCCCTCAGGAATGTAATGACAAATATGTCTGTCTGCATATATGCCCAATGTGCTATGAACTCCTGAAATTCAAATAAATTGAGAAAGGTCCCTTTGAGATGGATTTAACACTCTGGCAACAACAAATCAATGCAGTATTTTTCTATACAACTAAGAGTAACTCCTTACAGGGCTATGAGCTCATGATACTGTAGCAGACAGCATAGGATGGCAAAGCCCAGAACAGTGACTTCTTCCTACACATGTGCAAAATAACCAAATCTGGGCATTTTTGATCTTGGGAATTACTAGCACATTCTAACAGTATACATGGTAAGCATTTATAACCATGTATTTCTTTATGCTTTAAGTCTTAAGAAAAGAGAGATTTTGTTTTCACCTTGCGGAAAGCATTTCTGGACTCCTTGTAGTTTCGGCTGAGGCTGCTTACAAGATCCATTATGAACCTCCAGGACATTAAATTTTGAAGATCTCTGTATAAAAAAAAAACCCACCACCCAGCAACAGAAAATATGAGGCTGCAAAGCTTCTGAAGACTGACATGAAATGTAAACGTTGAGGATGTAGGCGCTCTGATATACCTACCTGGGAGAGTATTTGGTAAGAATAGGCTTAAGTTTGGTTAAATATTCTGGAGCATAAACAACCACTTCTTCCTCATTTTGAATATTAATATTCACAGTTGACATGATTTCATTTGTGAAATTTGACCAACTGAATGGCTGGGGAAAAAGCAGGCATAAAACATTCAGTAATTATTGCTTTCTCTTCTTGGTTCCAAGAATTATGGTTAGAAGGTCACACACTAAAGGGTATCAGCTGCATCATAAAATGCTTTATATAATAGCCAGTTTGTGTTTGAGATTTTTTTTTTGGTCAATTGTTTCCCTCAGTTTTTGAATAAATATTAGTTCTCCAATATGATTATTTAGATAGAAGAATTAAACCAACCATTTAAGAGCAAAACCAAATCCGTTATGCATACTGAGCGCACAATTAGAAATTAGGCTCATTGTCATCTTTTCTCTAAGAAATGCTTTTTAAAAAGAACAACAACAACAAAGAATAGCTTTAAAAATAAAGCTTCTTTAGTTTATGACAGTGCAAGTATATAAAAACTGTCTTTTAACAGTGGATATTAATAAAAAATTCATTCAAACACAGCAGTGCACCTGAGTAGAGTCCCAGCTGTGAACAGAACATGGCTATGGCTGAGATGCTATGGAGTCAGACAAAGGAAGATGCTTTGTGCTATTCATCTTAGTTCTAGAGACAGTTATACAGGTTTGTAACTTCAGTAGCTAAGTTGAGAGCTCTAGAAGACAGAATCTTATCTATTATTCCTTACATGGGAATTGAGTGTCTAAGATCTCAGTATCTTAGATTCCTATATATGTACACAGAGGTCCCTTACTGTGCAGAAAGTGCTATGCTAAACAACATACTTTCTTTCCTTTGGTACTTTGGACCAGTCCTCCAAAACACATTTACTTAATACATTATATGAAGAAGCATATGTAAGAAATGATGAACTCACTAAGGCAGTAACCAGAATCACTATTACAGACATAGTACAAAGTGAATTCTGACTGTGGGGGTTCTGACATATTTCTTTAAGTGTGGCTTCATGTCCCAGTCATGTGGCCTAATTACTACATTAGAAAATGGCACAAAGTTGGGTGTTAGAGACCATCTAACTGGCAAGCAAGTCCTGCTTACGAGTGGATACTGAGACAGGTTTCCTTACTACCTGATTCTGTCTATAATTTTTGTTCTGATTACCTTCATATATGGCTTGGATGAGAGCACAGGGAGTTCTATGAGTAAATTATGTTGTGGTAAGAACTAAAGAGACATTTTGTGTCTCCTTTCTTGACAGCACACATGGAATGACAATATAATGGACTCTCAAAAATGGACTTCTCCAAAGCCTGTTCTGCTTAGTGTCTAAAATCCTGCACAATTCTCTTAAAAGGAATTTTCCCTTTGAATCTTATTCTACTTAAAAACAGAAATAGCAATTTCAAAATCCCCCTGCCCCAAGGCTTCTCATGAAGTCAAAGAGTGACTGTCATTGAAATTCATTACTTTACTTCAGTAAATAAAATGTAATGTTATGATCTCAGGAAATAGTACAGGAAAGGGCACATACAACTTGAAAACTTCCTACTTACCTTCCCATTGATCTCTAGAGAAAAGTTATTTTGTAGCTCTGCCATTGTCATTTTGTTATAAAGCAGCATTGGGTCATTTCGGTCTTCAGGTTTAGTTGTAGCCTATGGATTTAATATTTGATTGTTATTTTAGAAAAATATGTATGTTGGAAAATAAAATATAGGGTAGTATAAGAAAATTTGATTTTGGATAAATATACCATCATTTTGTGTACATTCAGTAATAATTAACAGTATTTCATAACATCAATCTTAAAAGTCTTCAAAAATCTTTTTTTACATTTTGTTAACTGTCCAAAGCCACTAAGTAGTATTTGTGGATAATGGTCAATTCAGTCTGCAGTTGTTTCATATTATAACTTTTTCTTTTGGTATAGTCATCTCTAATTTGTCTCTCAAATACTATCTTCTATCCTCACCTTAGAATTCAGCATTCCAGTTAAAATTAAGCCATGGGACAAGGAAATGCAAAAGTTTTACAACAATTTATGGCAGCGCAGAAAATTCTTAGTCCATGACAGACAGGTTACAAGTACGGCCATCCTTTATACTTTCGTGATCACCCTTTTTTGTGACTAATTAGTGATCTACATTTAATTGCATCAAAGTTAATTTTGTTCATTGAATCTAAAGATAAAGTTATGGCAGGAACTCCCAGGTTAGTTCTTGGAATTAATAGTGGGAAGACATACAAAGGAAGGTGTAAAATGAGGACTGGGTGACAATGTCCCCTTTGGGTAACTTATCTCCTCATTGATGAGGACAGTTATATCTCCTTCATGCAAAGCAACATGTACACTGCTAGATACACATGAGTGATACAAAGATGGTTATGACCCTATGCCAACCTCAGAGCCTAATGCAGTGGAAGCCTAATACAGCGACAAGCATATAAGTGACAATACAGAGTAATAACTGTAGAGCCAAGGCTGTTGGCTCTACTCAGACCATGGCCTGAGAACAAAGGAGTAATAAAAATCCAAGGACAAGAAACTTCTCTAGCAGTTCAGTTTTCCTTGGAGAACCACAAGTGATCCATCAAACTGTCCTCCACCAAGGTTTTCCTCCAAGCAGTCTTGCTCTTGTTGAGCAAGGTAGGGTTCATGTAGCCCTAGCAAGTCTAAAATCACTCTCTTTATCTTCAGGCTTCAAGATTCTGATGAGGTCAGATGGCTATGGCGAGCAGATGGGGACATAAGAGAAGAGGGTTTTGCTTGCAGTGTTAAGGAACAGAAGCCAGGTTTAATCACTCGTCTGCATATTGCCTAGGTACAGAGTTCAATTGCTCATGCCTGCATGGCCCATCTGAAGACTCAGAGAACAAAGTGCTAGCCCAGTCTCCAAGGGCTTGCCAGGAAGCAGGGGAAATTCAGAAATCCCCTTGGCTCTGTTGCTAAGGTCAGTTTGTCCTGAACTCAGCAATCCCAGAGGCTGAAATCAGTGGCATCATTTACCCTCTATCCAAGTTCTTAGCAGAAGGACAGAGATGATCTCTGATGACACTTTGTATTTCAAAATAACATAAAGTAAAATTGTTTAGAAAAAATGCCATGGTTTTGCATGTGTATTCCTGGGTCATGAGGCGATTTCACATTCTGAGTGTAAGATTTTGATGCAACTGTTTATTATATAGGTAGGCGGTGAAGTGCAGATTCTTTGCTATTTGTCAAATTTAGTGTGTCTTTTGAATTTCAGGAGATTCTATAAGCTCCAAGGGTTCTCCTGAAGTCAATAATCCATTACTGGCCTATGCATTTTTATCACTGACTTAAAGAGCTACAGTTTTATCTTTAAAATAGCATAGAGAGGAGGGAATGGAACCAAAAGTGTTTGACATTATTCAGTATCCCAGAAAAATAATGTGTTTTACATTGGCAATTTCTTTTTCCAACTCCATAACTTTATTCATTTCCAACGAGAGCTGGTTTTCATCAATCGGCAATCTTTCTTCCTGACGAATCAGTCTGGCCACGGAAATCATAAAATCCACATATGCTGTGCAAGCCTGCAAGAAATAAGTCATAAGTTGTTGGGGAGCCTTCTGTTATTCACCATGGTACATTAAGGTTTTTAAAATATTAATTTTTGGTAACAGAAAAAACACAATAAATGGAAGTATTTTCTAAGTGCTAAAAGAAATGTCTTGTACAGATTTCTTTAATTAGAGCTGAGGCATAGTAATGAAATACCATTTTGAATGGTTTAATTATAGCCATTTGTCTATGGAGATTGTTATTTTTAATACATTTATTTTGCCTTTATAAAAATACAGTTGTAAAGCATTTGTTAAGTAATTACAAAATTACTTCTTTTCTTTTACTAAACTTTTTTCTCAGGTTGACTTTGCATATATATCTCTGTTGAGGAATATACTATAATGTTACTACTACCTATCCATGCTTTTCTATAGGAGAAACTATTTTTTGGAGGGGGGGCTTTGAATTTGCATTTAATAACATAATCACAAAGTTAGTAGGAATGAAAGATAATTTCTTATAAGTGATTGCCAGCTTCACTCTTCCTACTAAAAGCTAGTCAGAGTTCTTGTTTCTCTATGAAGTAAATAAACAAGTATATGTCTGGTTTATAACCTGTGGGACCACCTAGTCCCAAGTATAAGAATGGAGTGTTTTGAAGTAATTATATTTCAAAGCATATACACCCATCTGCTTTCAGCAAGGTATTACTGCTGGCTATAAAGGCTATAATTTGAATTTTCTAATATCAGTCTTCTGAAATTTTCTCTTTGTTATATGAGATACACTTTTGCTAATGAGGAGAGAAAACAAGAATCCTTCTGTGTACTGTGTGGCTGACTCTGCAGTCCAGTTCTTCTTTACAAATGTTCTTGATGATGAGGAGTCTTGGTAGATGACATCACAACACAACCTTTTAGGCCTGTTGAACTGATGAAAGCTCCTATTGCTAGCTCAGGGCACACTTGCATAGAATGCAGTGTTTTGATGAATGAGGTGTAGCCTGACAACCGCTCTCATTGAAACATGTATCTTTCTTCCCAAATTCCTGCATTAGTTGTCAGAACTCAATCTCACTGCTGCAAGATTCTAACCTAAGGCTTTAACTTCTTGTTATTTTGAAACATGTAACATGCCAAATGATACCAAGTATCGGGATTTAGAGAAACCAAGATATTTTTGAAAGTGAAGATTAGCTTTCCTTTCTTGTAATTTAGAGATTTAGTCTTCAGGGCAGGGACAAGAATGAGCTCTTGTTTATTTAACCATTGTGTCTTTGAAAAGACAGTAAATCAAGGCTCATTTCAGAGGCGAAGAACATAAAAGCATCTCATATCCATTTGTTAAAAAAGAAAAAAACTACTAATTATAAATCTTAACATTAACAAAAGCAGTTTTAAAGGGACAATCTCTTTTAAAAGACAAAATAAAATTCATATAGTAGCCACACATTAGCCAAACTAATATTTACTAATCCTAGAATAAAGGATTCTTGCTTGACTAGAATAATTTCTGTTTTACAATAGCAGATAGTGGTGTTATAAACTAGTTCCCCCATCCTGGTGGGGTTGGGGGGGCTGTTCTTTATTAGAATCACTAAAGAGGAACACAGCAAGGCCATTTACTACTGTCTTTCAGACTCTAATGTCATTGTTAATGAATGGCATCAAGATCCAGGAAAGAGAAGAAAGCTCTCCAGTCAGATAAACTGATATCCAGGTACCCTGGTTGTAACCTAGAAAGAACAGGAATTTCATATAAAGACATTTTGTTTGTGACACTCAGCTCTTTTCAGTTTTCTGTCTTTTCCTTCCTCAGAAGAAAATCTACAAAATGTGGATCAAGAAGTAACCAAGAAGTCACAACTATGCTTTAGTTAGCTATTAATGCTGGGACATATCTTAAGTGTCACTTAGGAAGCTTACAGGTAGAATCCACCAAGGGCACCAGGCTCAAAAACTTCCTATTAGACAACATACAACTGCTGGCACAGAGACTTGCTGTCCACAGGGGGATGGTGTATGAAGAACTGCATACCTATTCCTGGGGACCAGGGACAAGACATAGCTGAGCCTAAAAACAACTCTAGAACAGGACTTGTGGAATATAGGACCCAAGAGGATTTACCTTGGCCCAGGGAGGGGACTGAGGCTGTGGGTAGATTATCAGAAAGCACCTGGAGGTTTACACAAGATTTTCAAAGTTTTGTATATGCAGGGAATCAGAGTTTTCACAAACTACTTTCAGTCTCTAAATATTCTCTTCTCAAATTTAGCAAGTTGAAAATAAAATAATCCTTTATGTTTTGTAAAATGCATATATCGAGACTCGGCAAACCTCCTGGGTTTAGTCTCTTTCTGGTATCCAGAAAGAACAAAGTGAAGCCAATGACTATCCTTGTACCATATGAATCTCAACACCAGTACATAGAGAAACTATGAAGGCCATATGTATTAGTTGAGTTAAAGTTCACATTTTGTCTATGATGAGTGGGTGAGTGGGCCATCATAGATCCACTTGCTCTTATCAAGTCCACCATCTGCTTTCATATATAGGACTAAAGGGCCCTCCTGCATTATAGCACAGTGTACACACTGTAGCCAGAGAGATCTTTTTAAAGGCCTAAATGAACAGAATCTAAATTGTTCATCTATTCATTAACTCATTAGTACATCACCATTTTATTATCATCATAATTCTTCCTCAATTTACATTATGTCCTATTATTTCCTTTTTCACTTTTGTCTTTCTTATTCTTGCATCATTTGAGTTCAATGTAGCAAACATATTGTCTCCAAATTTCCCCTGTCTAGAAGAGTTGTCACACTGTCATGAGTTCCATAAATATTTATTAAACAAAAATATTGAAGTTATAATAAAAGTGTATCAAGAAGGCTTCACTGGCTTCTACTTGATCAGAGCATCTCCAGACCATAGCAGCTTTTATTAACTTGCTCTTTGAGTGAGCAAGCAAGTAAGTCTCTTTGAGCATGCTCATCTCTATGACTACAAGTCTCAGCTTGTGATTTTTTTTTCCTGGAATTTAGTGAATGGGGAGGTATCTGTATTTTCTCTGATTTAGACACACAGGCTTTGGATCATCTCTTTCTCTCTTTGATCTACTATGGTCACATTTCAAGCCCTTTATCCTCATCCCTAAAATGCCTCCATGTTTTATGAGCTCACCAGTTTTAGAAGAGTTTTAAATTAATTTATAGCTCTAGCCTTCCTCTCTCTAATCATGTCTTATATTACTGTAAACATGGCTTCTCATGTCCAACTTGTGCTTCCTCAGACTCAACTTCTCATTGAAGGGTTTACTCATATTATTTTATCCCTAAATACATGGTTCAGCCAAGTATTTTTTGATGAACAAACAAAAGCATAAAAGAATCATGATAGCCCAGAGTCCTGTCAGTGATATATTGAGAATAGGAAAATGCCCTAGCCTATTCTGCCTTGTTAGACAAGCATTTGAACAGAACATAAGAATATCTGTAATTACAGGCAAACATTTTAGGTTTCCAGTCTACAGATTTCTTCACAAAGAAGGAGAAGGTAATTGGGCTTAATGAAGTAAAAAAGGTAAAAAAAAAAAAAAAAAAAAAAAAAAAAGAATGTATCCAATTGTTTCCTCAGAATAGGTATTTATACTTCTGTATGTCATTACTTCTGTCTTTTAAAGGACAGTGTATCATTAACTGCCACCTCTGGTAATTAGAATAGCTATGTATTCTCTTATCAAAGGAGAGCTCTAACATGATACACTTCTCACTAAACTGGTTTTGAGAAAAATTGTCATTAAACATAGACATGGTGCATATGTATTCATTTCTGAGAAGTTTATCTACAGGAAATTTCTTGAGATTCAGTATGTGCTGTCATTGTCAAAAAAAACTAATGAAGAAAACATTCACAACTTTTATGGTTGACCTGACTTCATGGTATTCCTAGTCAGTATGTATAGGTTCCCGTGACCACTAAAAGAGAACAAAATCATGTTTTCAACTTACAGAAATTATGTCATCTGGGAATTGATGATAAATATAGTCTTTAGAATGTAAAATCATATTGGGTTCATGGAAAATAAATCCAGCAAGTCATCAGAATAAAATTCATGAAGACCTGTGCATTGATGAAGAAGTCTCTTCTGTTCATTTGTGTGTGTGTGTGTGTGTGTGTGTGTGTGTGTGTGTGTGTGTGTGTTATGTGTGTATTCTTGTTGGATGTATTTCAGCCTGGTATCTTAGTGCATTCTCTTCGCAGAGGACCAAATGGGCCTGAGTTAATCAGTGTCCTTTTATCTCATTATTTAGGATCTGTAACTCCGCTCCAGTTACAGAGAGAAAATGACTAAAAACTATCTGATCAAAGCCAAGTTTTTCCATCCATATTATTATTCTACCTTAAATTTTTGGATGCTCAAGAAAAAAAGAAGCTGAGGTATGTTACTTTTGATGGTTTCACTGGCATATTACTAACCACTTAAAGGAGAATCAGTATCAACACTTTCCAAACTCTTCCACAAAACTGAAAAGGGTAGAAAAGTTACAAATTTTATAAGCCCAAATGATCCTAAAACCAGACAAGGAAAAGAGTGGTCAAATATCCATGATGATGACCAGAATAAAATGTTCAGTAAAATGCTGATAAGTTTATAAGTGTTTGACAGAACATAAAAATACTTTTTTCTAAGATTAAAATAAATTTATGTCAGGAAAAACATATAAGTATCATCCAGTAATAATCAGTTACACATTATATTAACAAAATGAAGTTCAAAATCACATGGTCATCTCAAATGATGGGAAAATTGAACATAATTTTAAAGAAAACTTTCAAATGCGTAAGTTCAAGAGGAACATACGTCAGCACAATAAAGGCCACTACGACAAGTCCACAGCTAACGTAAGCCTTACTGGTGAAAGGTTGAACACTTTGCCTCCAAGATCAGAAACAAGATAAGGATGTCTATTCAAGAGAGTCCTAAACGCCTAGCAGAACAGCTACGGTAAGCACAAGAAATGAACGGTATCTGTATATAGGAAAGGACGCAGTGAAATGGACTGTTTGCCAATGGCATGATCTCATACATAGAAAATGCTAAAGGTGTCATCAAAAATAGTGTTAGAACTGAAAACAGTTAAAAGAAACCTATACACAAAGGTCAGTAGCACTTATGCAAACAAACATTGAATTATTTGACTTATAAATGAAATGTGATCCCCTTTATAGTAGCATTAAAAACAGGAATAAATTCAACTGACGTTTTCTAGCCTCCTTTATATTTAGTGGGAAGGATATGACAGCCTGGCCAGCCTGGGCCACAGAGTAATCCCTTTCTGAAAAACCAAAGAAACCTATTAGCTAAAAAGTTAGAGGAAATGGTCCAGCACTTTCCTTCTTTTCTATTTCCCTTTGGCCTTAAACATGAATAATGGCACAATGAGCCAATTCTGGCGTGCACACTAATGTAAATTCCAGAGAAAGCTGAGACTAGGAGAATAAAATTAAAAGGCCACTGAGGCCATAGGGAGTCCCATGTTTCCTACCTCACCTGGGCTGCCTGCCTTGAGATAGGAAAAGGAAATAGAAATATTGTCCTTTGCTTCAGGCACTATAATTTTGAGTATCATTGTTATTGCAGCTCACATAAATCCCAATCCAGTACCAACTTATGTGCTTAAACAGACAAGAAATTTGGTGTAAATCAATGAATAATCTAGACCATGGCTATGCAGACAGAAAATGATATTTTATCTAGATGGAGTAGCTAGAATAGCTCTGTCAGTACAGTCTTTTGAAAATGCAAACTTAGGGTTTCTAATTCTACAGACATAGCAGAAAAAATATGTGTTACCAAGTGAAGGCCCCAATTTTATAATGGATGAACAACAATTAAAAATTTAAAATAAAACATGTCTTGAAGCTTAATTGAAAATTCCATTATGTCACCTGTCTCACATTATGAACTAACACTCAAGAAATAATTCTCAAAATAGTCTATCATTTTCATAAGAGCTTATCAAAGAAAAAAGGAAGAAACTTCACCACCTGGACTATGAGTTTGATATCAGGAATGTTAAACTATAAAATAAAAGCTATCTAAGGGTTGGAAAACACTGACAGTTTGTAGAGTACAATTGTGAATATGAACAACTCTTGGGCTGAAAACGATAAGGAACGAGCTGACATTCTTCCTTCACTATTAACTCTGCAACAGGAAATAGCAGGACACTTCTTAAAGCCAAAAGCTTCAGCCCACACAGAAAGTAGATTACTTAGATATCATACACCCACTTAATTACCTGTGCTATTAATTGTGACCTTCAACATGACAATATTAATTTCAGTGTTGTGTATCCACTCAAACAGATAGCTTATTCCATGTTATTTGAACTTAACAAGAATGCAAGCTACGTTTAGCTAATAATTTTAGCTGAGAGTGGTTCCGATCATACTACCATGATGTGACTCTTTAGGATCATGAAAAGCAACCATAATTTTCTTCTGTGTTTCAAAGCAAGTTAAAAGAAAATCATCTACAGGACAAACACCTTCCTTCTAATAACTACTCACACTCAATATTGCTAGTTTTGTCTGCTGAAGTTCCTTATATCAGTAAGAAAGAACACATTCATAAAAGCCTAAGGTAGGAAAGCTTGTGAGATATTAAGAATGAAATCCAGGTCAAAACAGCTGTGTGGGATGTGATGTCCATGGCTTAGGTGCTATGGAAAGGGAGTAGATGCTCCTATCTGCATATATTCTCTGAGAAAGTCTGGACAGGTATCTCTCACTCTATCAGTCAATCCTTAGTCCTTACAGACAACACTCTGTACCATGATTAGTCTAACACTTTTTGTTTTTCATTAAATGATCCAATTTAGATGTGAATGGAAACATTTAAAACTGAGCTTTAAAAATGTATCATGTGACTTAAAAACCAAGAATGAAAATTCAAATGAGGAATTCCAAGCTTCCTTACTTGATTCCCATTAGTCTAGTGGGTATGTCTGTTCTTTCAAAGGAACTTCAGCATTGTGTGGCTTTGGTATTTCCCCATCAATGAATGTAAGGAATTTTCAGTCTGGCCCTTTTCATTATTAAAGTTTGCACAGATGGCTGTGCAGTCTGTGTTTGATTCTTTTCTCCCTCTGCTTTTATTTACCTCTTTATATATTCCAGTACACTCATAGTAGTCTCTGGAAGGGAGGCCAAGTCGAGGCTGGTCAAACTATAAAAAAATATATATCAAAGAAAACAAATTATTCAGCGAGTAAAACATTTGGATAAAATGCAACTAGGCCCACTCTCCCTGCTCTTTTTAAGTGCAGCAATCAGAAATGGAGTAAATAAATAACTAGAAAAGTTTCTACCATACTTGCAAGTGATAAATGCATGGGCAGTTAAGTAATCCAAGGGGTTTCATTGTGGATGTGTGAATGAAACTAAAGAAAACTAAAAATACCCTGGGAATGATTTTAAATTCATTGCAAAGGGTAAATTCATAGCAAAGAAAAGAATATGAAGATCCTGGCCCAGTGCATTACTGGATTACACATTTACAGGACTTTCCAGTTTCTAGATATTCTAGTATGATCCCTTGGGGGACCTGTTTGTCTGCATCCCGTTAACTGGGGTATATTCTAACTGGTAGAAGGAAGTTACATTCTTCAAATTGATTTGGTGTATGGTAGTAGAGGCATGGAAAATCAGTACAGTTACTCTACAACCCATTTGCTGGTGTTAATCTTGCCAGAAATTTGAGACTGCCTACCAATGAGGCAGGGAGAAGACTCCCCCTGTGATGTCCCCAGAGACATGTGTGCTCAGGATTTTAGCAGATGTGGGCAGTGGCTGGCTGTGTGAGAAAAGACTCTGCTGCTTTTGTGTATGGTTCCACCTTGGCCACTGATGTTAAGGACAAGTGGACACAATGACAGCTTTGTGAGACTGCTTTCTACACATTATACAGCAGAATGGATGCATTCTTAACCTAGAGCACTGACAGATGAAGGTGGGCATCTCTGAAGTTTTGAGGAGGACAACCCAACCACAGGAATTATACACAAAAGGAATGTGTAGGAAGAACCCTTCATCTCCACATGAAGAGCTCTTAAAAGGGTGGTATTTTACTTGCCTTAACTGAGATTAAAAGTATGATAATCTTTAGAGAACCAAAACTGTTCAAAATTCCCTGTTCAAAATTTCCCTTTATTATTATTATTATTATTATTATTTTAATCAAAGAGGAATTTTTGGTTTCCAGGCACACATTACTTTATACAAACCAAAGCATGAAACATGTAAAGAGACTGGGAGTCATTTTCATGATAAGAGGATCCTAGGAAGCTCTCTAAAATACAGACAAGAGAGAGAGAGAGAGAGAGAGAGAGAGAGAGAGAGAGAGAGAGAGAGAGAGAGAGCTGAGTGTCTAAATATATCATTAATAAAATTCTCTTAACATGGGACCTCTAGGGCCAAGAGCCAGGGCATGGATTTATTGCCCCTAGTTCATGCAATGAAAGGGAGAATTGGTATTACTCAACTATCAGTGAAAACAATGCACATGGAAATTTCACTACAAGTTAGAGACAGCTGTGGCTGCCTACACACTTACATGAATTATATGGTGGGTAGAATTCTTATCATCAGTGCCAACAAAAAAATTAATGAGGACTTTCTTCCCATATTTAGAATTCAGTTGTGCAATAGATTTCTCAGCTGTCCAAGAAGTACCTAAAGGAACAGAAGGTGAAGCACGCTTTCTGAAGCTTTGTTTCATGAGCAATACCATAATACGGAAATTATTAATTTCAAAGAGGGAATTAGTCTTACCATATGTTTGATCCCAGTTTTCTGATGCTACGGGCCACCCATATATATCTGGTAACAGTTTGAGAAGAGGTTGCCCACCTCTGTTATCAATAGCAGCTTTTTAGAATAAAGAAAATTTCAAAATGGGGTTATGTATATTATATTCGTATTTTGTTACCAACATATACATATTTCAAATAAAGAACACTTACACTCATTTATACAAGACCTGTATAAGGTTTTTGCCTTCTGCACTGCTACTATGTCTTCAGTTTTGGGCTCTTCAAGGACATCTGAAATAGGGCATTTAGTGAAAATACATCAACAGAATTGCTGACTTGGGGCTGTTATTAACATTTTAAATATAGGTCTAATTAAAAGTAAATGTTTTCTTCCTCCCCACTCCTAAACCCTGAGAAAAACCAAGCCATCATTCCTAGAACAAATGTGGAGTTTATTCCCTTAGCCAAGTTCCATGTAAGTCCCTTTTCAGGGGTCTGTGTGTGTGTGTGTGTGTGTGTGTGTGTGTGTGTGTGTGTGCATACATACATACATATTTGTCTGTCTGTGTGTGTGTGTTTCTAAGCCTCAAGTACCAGTTACTTTTCTTGAATTTCAGATTAAAAACAAAACAAATAGTACAAAGGAATTTGGGACTTAGTGTAGATGATCCTCTTGTAGACTAGAACATAATTATCTTTGTGTAAATGTACAATGCATGATCCAAAATGATTGTTCTCCCTGCTTGGATATAAAAAACATAAAAATCTCCCATTTTTTTTTCCTACAAAGTGACTTCCAGAAGATAAATGGATGAGTGGAGATGGTAGAGATGAGTCTAAACATTCTCCACTTTTCAGGGAGGACAAAGCCTGGTAAAATCTTCAGTAACTTTAACAAAACTCCGGATTGAGTAGGGAAGTCAGTGGAAATAGTTCAGTAGCAACCAACCATTAAATGTTTCCCCTCTACAAAATGACTTGAAGATATCATCACTAGGGATGAAGAGCTTTAGAATTCATATATCTAAAATTAAAACAGGGAACGTTAAGAGATTCCAACACATCCATTTTAGAGTCTACTACTCTCAGAGTGACTCAATGGAGGTCTGCAAATCTTGGAGGGAATATCAACTCTAATCTTTTGCAAATTTCCTGTAATGGCCAGCAACTACATCTTTTAAAAAATGGATGTCAGAGGGGGAAAAAAATTCAATTGACAGACAGAGTCAACACTAACCTTTCAAAATGACTTCTAGCTCATCTCTTAAAATGTCAAAATTACTGTATCGGGAACTGGTCTCGGGAATGACGTTGCGTTTCAACCAGCCCCCACAAGCATATTTGAAGAAGTCTGTACATGGCTCAGCAGAGGCATCCATGTTCTGGATCAGTCGAGCAGCTGCAAGACCAGAGAAAGGATCAGATGAAATGAAGATGTATTGTTTTACTAGGCTGGAAAGAGGAAGGGAGACTCTTCCTTCTTCACATCAGCTACACAGAGGCTCTTTTCTCGTATTTATATAACAGCCCATTCTGATGGCATCATGACTAGTGTATTTCTGTAGTCCCTTGTCCCTTTGCTATTATAGTGGGTTCATTTTATTTCTGAGTGCCCCAAGTCCTCTATCCTAAGGCCCCTGAACTTCCTGCCATTTACTACTTCAAGGAAAAAAAAATTATAGGACTACTTTGTTGTGGCCATCTGGGCCTGCAGTTAACATAGTGTCATTCTGCACTCTGGTAACTTTTAGTTACTGTTTACTTTTTCTGGGCACTGTGTCTTTCAAATTATATCTGAAAAGCTAAAGGATGCAGGACTGACTGCTAATGGATTTTTAACAGCTCAGTAAGGATCTGAAGCCTGCCATTAGTGTTTGTATCTTGCTTATAGTTCTTTAAATTTTTATTACACTTTTATTTATTTATGTGTGTGTTTACAAGTGTGCCACAGCATGGATGTAAGGAGAGAGGACAACTCATGGGAGTTGGTGCTCTCCTTCAACTGTGTGGGCCCCAGGATCAAATTCAAATGGCCAGTTTTGGGGACTGGAGCCTTTACCCACTGAGCTATCTCTGGGGTCTCCCTTCATTTCACAATTAAAATTCATGCCCAATTTGCATGTGTTTGTTAGCTGGAAGCTTGCAAGATTTTCTGAAGCCCACTCTCACATCTTTAAAAACTGGGATAAATACACAACATTAAGTATTTACAGTATGTAACAAGGCATGCACTTTTAGGTGCTTTAACTGGTAAAATATAAATTATTACATTCTGAAGATTAGAAGAGGCACAAGGCTCATCTACTTTACACTTGGAGTAGAGCAGACCCACCCCCTACAATCCGACATGCTTTCTTTCTCACAGTAGGTTCAAGGTTCAACTGTTTGTTGGTGAAAACAAAGGAGCAATTGAGAATTCATTGGTGTCAGCAGAGTATACATGCTCAAGTGAGCGTCCAAAAGTACTTCACCTCCTGAACCAATTAACTAATTACTTTAAAACTTCAAGCAATTGTGGAGCGGTGTGCATTTTTTTCAACTTGGTATAGTAAATAAGTTTTGCAGCTGAGCTTCAAGCCCCTAATTCTAAGCACCTTTTGGATGTGTTTGCTTGATGAACACCTCAAGGCCAACTCTTAAACTTCCTCTGGATTAACCCCAAATCAATCACCTCTCAACTTCCATGCTGTGGTATAAAGTACATTTTTAGCACAGACTCTTAGGATTGAGTTCTCAGATAAGACTATATCTCTTCCATCCCTTTACTAACTTTACTTCCTTAGCTTGTTTTAGATGCCTCCTTTTCTATGTTCAATATCAACCCAATTTACAATTTACATCTTCATTTTCTGATGATTAATTCATTTTGTTCTCTCTCCCTCTCTCTCTCTCTCTCTGTCTCTCTCTCTCTCTCTCTCTTTTTTTTTTTTACATACTCTGATCATCTTTTGAGCAAAGGGGTCAAGACTAGGCTGGAGAAACACAAAGAAACAGCTGACCTGAACAAGTGGGGAGCTCATGGACCCCAGTCTGATAGCTGGGAAACCAACACAGACCCCCTGAACATGGGTGTTAGTTAGGAGGACTGGGAAGTACAGAGTCTCTGATAGGGGATCAGTATTCATCCCTAATATAAAAATGAACTTTGGGAGCCCATTCCACATAGAGGGATATTCTCTCTACCTAGAGACATGGGGGAGGGCCTAGGCCCTGCTCCAAATGATATGACAGACTTTGAATATTCCCCATGGAAAACCTCACCCTTCCTGATGAACAGAAAGAGGATGGGCTGAAGGTTGGTGGGGGGAATAGAGGAGAATGGGAGGGAGAGGGAACTGGGATTGGCATGTAAAACAAGCCTGTTTCAAATTTAAATTTTAAAAAAAAAATCATAAAAATAAATAAATATTCTGTTCATCTTTTAGATTAAACACTCTACAGACCATATCACACTGGTCACAACGTTACTCAAAAATGTTCCTGGCATCTCCTTTCCCAGGTTAAATGACAAAGTCTTTAACTTGGTCTTGAGGCTATCCTCTACCCATTATCCTCTCTATATTTTATTCACCTCTGTTCTTACAAGACAGATCTACTGGGTGTGCCAGAATACCCCTATGTTCCCTAGCTGAGCCTTTGCTTCTGACCTCCTTATCCCATATCTCATATCCCTTCTCTGCTTCTTTCCAATTTCTACCTACCATTCAAGGTTTGATTCATGTCCTATTTCTTCCCAAAAAGTCTGTGACTCTGAACTATAAGCTACATCTCTTTCCAGACTCCATAAATTCACTGCCTCACACAATCTTTAGTGTTCAGATGAAGCTTCTTGGAGCTTTTCATTATGGACACTTTGTTCCCACCAATTTACTGATGTCATTAATCCTTTTGTATGACCATCAACTGATATCTACTAATGGGTGCAGTTATATACCTGATCTCAGTTCTCCTCTCCTCCCATGAGTCATCTCAGTTCCTGTTTTACTGCCTCCAAAGTCTACTCTATCTATTCCAGTCTAAGTCTTTATTCTATGTCAGGCCATGTTCTTTCCCAAGCCTTGGCCCCAGGCCCCATCCACCCTAGTCCACCCATACTCTGCAAACAGATTCATGCTCTTGAAACATTTCAGCAAGATGTTTTCCAGCCCAGGTTTCAATACTGTCTTTTACATTCATTAAAACAAACAAACAAAAGCCTAAACAAACAAAACAAAACAAAACCAAGCCAAACAAGCAAGCAAGCAACCAGCCAGCCAAAAGAACCATCCCAGGGATTCCACAGCGTATTTTAATCTGATGTAGCTAATGAAGCCTCTGTCTTCATTTTCTCCCATGAGTCATCTGCCCCAGTCAGATCAGTTTCCACTATAAAACAGCTCTGTTTTCTGCTTCTGGAACTTTGTCCTGGTTGTCCCAGCCTGCATCTTCTGCTACTGAATCTTCTAAATTTTTTCAGCTTTATGAATTGTAGGCATTTAAAAAACCCAGCTTAAGTCCTCCACCTGAACAAAAACTATCCCCACAATACCCATATCTGCTTGTGTCATACTCATCACATGGGAACATATTTGACTTCTCCAAAACTTAAACTCCAGCTCCATGAAGAAATAACTCATTCTTCAATCCTTACAGGGTCACACACTGCTGGCTCAAGATCCACCAGGAAGATTCTAGTCTTAACACAAGAGGACAAGATAAGAAAACTTAAACACTGCTGGGCAGTGTTGGTAAACACCTTCAATCCTGAGAGTCAGAGGCAGGTGGATCTCTGTAGGTTCAAGATCAGCCTGCTCTACAGAGTGCAGTCCTGGAAAGCCAGGGCTGGCAAGAGATATCACCTCAAAACAAAACAGGGGGGGAGGGGGAAGGAGAGAAGAAGAAAGGAAGAAAAGAAAAAGGACACCTAAAAATGGTAGGGAAGAAAAAAGTTTCCTTGAACTCTGAAGGAAACAAAGATATGATGGCAGGAGAAAGTGAAATCAACACCACCCCCCCCCAGTTAAGAAGACTGTCATATAAAGTGGAAACTCCACAAACCAGGAGCCTGTACACACTAACCAAAGACTTAAAACTACACTCTGAACATTTTTTTTTGAGCTTTTCTTCTTGAAAACCTAAAAGTTGATGTTGTAAACGCCACTGACATTTGGGGAACACATCTATTCATTGTCTCTCCTGGGAAGTGGGTGACTTACATGAACACCATAGGACTGCACAGTCTACTGGACACTCATAAAGAAGTGATGAACTTGCACAATGAACACTGGGAGTAGTAGGCAAGTCTTATTGCACATTTGGAATACCACATACCCCATCTGTCAAATGCTTTGAATAAAAATAATGATGTTAGTTGAAATTCTGAGCTCATGAGGATAAAAATCAGTCCCTTGAGTGTATGTGAACTTCCCACACCCCGCATAAGGGAATTGGGTTAGTATTCCCTCTCAGGCCAGCTCTCCTTGCTGGATCCTAGCATCTGTACTAGCCCAGAGAAACAGCGTTCAGAGACAAGCAGAGAGTTGGGAACAGGCAGCTTTGCTCCTCCTTCCAGTGCCTCCTGATAAATCCCATTGACCAGAGCTCACTCTGAGTGTTAGTGCTTTCAGCCACTTCAAAGAAAGTCCTGCTCTGGTGAATATTTGGGGGGCATAGGCCAAGGCAAGCCATAGGCTAGCACTTTTAAGCTGACTCTTTGATGAATCTTTCTTTAATCTCTTATCATGGGTTGATTCTCCATTTGCACCTTATCCTCTGAACCTCCACTGTGCTGACTTTCCTTTGAAGTCAGCAGTAGACATGTGGGTAGAAGGACCCCAGGAAACATGCACAATGGTCAAACTGGTTGTAATTGTCTTTCTGTGTTTCGAATTGCTGGATGTCCACCCACAGCCACACCCGTGCTCTTCAGATTTCTCATTGAACATCAGTTTCTAGATAAATAACTGTGCTTTTTTTTTTTTAAGTCAAACAAAATTATTTTACTTCAATAAGTAAACACAAGAAAGCAAAAGTATTGTTATGGAATGTTGTTCAGCAGGTTGTAAGTAGAAAAAAAAATGCTACAATGTAAAAAGCCCTATGCAAAAGCCCCAGAAGTCTAGGTGGATAGATGCTGGGGTACTTATTATAGTTATATCTATGGGGAGGGGTGTAAGTGTGTTTAATTTTGTATTATTTGCTTATCTTTATTTCCCAATTTGTATTAGAGGAATATGCATTCATTACCCTTGCTATAAAGAAAAAAGTCAATTTTTAAAATAGTCACATAAAGACAAGCAAAGTAATCTTCCATTAATAATGAGCTTATTTCTTATAAATGACAATTCTGAATGTTCTGGGCTGATAAATGACACACCATTTTTTCTCTAACTAATCTTCTCATAACATTCTCCCAACTTA